TTTATTAGATAAGCAGGTTAAGCAGCTAAGTAAAGGCGCTTAGTAGATAGCTTATAATATAGTGTTAGTGCAGGAGGAAATAGGCTACCTTTAAGACACTATTAACACGCTTACAAAGTACAAGACACGTAAGAGGCAGTACATACGCGCAGAGGAGACCCTAATAGTTAGTAAGGTATCTAACTTAATTACTAAAAAGGAGGGTAGTAGTTGTAAGGACAGCAAGACGCCTGCAAAGAGGGTGCGCGCAGAGAGGCGCTGTGGCTGTTGCAGCAAGATTGGGCATAACTCCCGCACCTGCAAGGTAGAAATAGAGGATATAGATAATAGCAATGCTTATGAATAATATTATCCTGTTACATATATTATAGGAATTTGTGATAGTGTTGCACTACGTCGCGGTGCGTGCGCTGCGCTGGAGAAAGTGCGCCGCTCGCTTGGGTGCGCCGCTCGCTTGTGAAGCACGTTAAGGATAATAAGATTATTACTATATATATGCCTCTACACTTATTGCATCTCCTGCAGCTACTTAATGTAGGCTGTTTTACCCCTCTAAAGAAGGTGTATAGGTGTTAAGCTAAAGACCTTATATATAACTAGATTAACTATATTATAAAGCTTAAGTTCCTGCTATGCTTTAAAGCAGCCTATAATGCTATATTAATCTTAAGCAATATCTAAGGAGGGTTCTAAGGCACTAGACTAGTCCCCTTTAACCTAGAATAGGTTATAATAGGGCTTAATGTAAAGCTGCGCACTCTATCACTATAACTCCCTAATAATAATAAGCCCTAGCAGTTACAAACCCCTAGCAATACCCTAGAACTTTAGTTATAATTAACTCTAATTTAAGAGAAGTATAAGAAGCAGCAGGGTAGCTCATCCAATTCTGTGCTGAGCGCGCTTGAGCACTACGCAAAGGGGGGAGCGATTCTATTGCACAAGCTAGTTTTGGCGCAACAGGAGAACGCTAAGCTTCACGCAGCTCTAGCAGCTGCCACAGAATGTAGATCGCGCAAAAGAAAGCAAATCTAGAAGGAAGGGACCCTTATAGTTAAGGAAGGGCAGTAGATAGCAGCTCTAAAGGAGTTTAGGGCATGTAGTAATAGAAAGAAGTTAAAGAAGCAGGTGCGCACTAAAGTAGGTAAGCCCTCCTAACAACACTGTGGATGGTGCAATTAGACTAGGCACAACGCGCGAACGTGCAAGAATGATACAGAAGTAGTCTCTAAATAATATTCTAAGGTGTACTGCACCTTACAGCGCTAGAGTGTGGTGTTTTGGGCCATAATAGGGTGAGGTTTAGTAGGGTCTTGGCAAAAGTGTCCGACTCGCCCGTGTGTCCGACTCGCCCGTGGGGTACGTTATACTAAGCTTATTAGTAGTCTAGCTATTATTAGAGACTCTAATAACCTAATCTTAGGGAGATCCTCTTCTTTATACTAGGCAGAGAGGTGGTGGTAGGCCTTAAAGATAAGGAAGGCTAGAATAGCCTATCCTTTAGCATTAATGCTTACTATAGCTATAGCCTACTCCTAGTTGCCTAGCTGGATAGCCTTTGGTTAACCTTGTTATTCTGAAGCTGTAACAACTGCTCCTAGGGAGATCTAGCCTATTATAAAGCTAGTCTTGTTAAAGTTGTATGTGTCTTTATCCTAGATGCTAACGTACCTCACGGTAGGCTGGCGGAATGGGTATACTCCAACGTCCTTCGTGGGTACCCCCCAAAACCTTATCAATAATACATGGATTCTAGCAAACTAGGACTAAAAAGAAAGAGAAAAACCACCTCTACAATTTTGTAGTAGAAGGTTTTGTTATAACTATTAAACTGCACAAGCTAGAGGCTAGAAAATATTAAAAAAGGGGGGGTACCTAGCAAGCATACCTATTAATAGGTATACTTTGCTAGGTAGTGTTAATAACTTAGCTAATACTAGGCAGAATTAGCTAATTCTTTTTTTATTAGAAGGCGCAATACTAGGCGCTTCTATTAAATAATAGATTATGTAAGCGTATCTCTGCTAGTTAAGAAGCTATAAGCCAAAACGTAAAAAAGCATACCCTACCCATCCGCCAGCCTACCTCACGGGCGAGTGGCCGGCCCGGGCGAGTGACCGGATTTTGCCAAGACCACACCATACTTCAACTTCTCTTGCATATTACAGCAAGTTACTGCAAGTTACTGTAACTTACAGTATACAGCACTAATCTACAGTATCTTGCGCATCTTTTATACACGTTCACGCGTTATGCCCTGTGCTACAGCGTTGTAAAGACTGAGTGCCTAGTTTAACGCGCCTCTTCTTACTTGCCTTCTTCCTATTATTACAGGCTTTAAACTCCTTTAGGGTAGTTAAGCGCACTCCTTTACTAACAGTAAGAGTTCCCTCCCTCTAGATCCGCTTCCTCTTGTGTGATTTATGGCGTGTGGCGGCCTCATTAGCAGCCTGAAGCTCTGCGACCTAGTTGCGCACTAAAACTAGTGAATGTGCCATTATCTCTGCGCCCTTAGTAAGCTAATTAAGAGCATTAACTATTAAAGTTAGAGAGCTATTGCTATGTTGTTAAATCCTCTCCTTAATAAGCTTTAATTACAACCTAAATTCTAGGGTGTTCTGTAGGGTTTAAGAGTGCTACATACTCTTATCTATAGTAGGTAGTAGTAGAGTACATAGGCGCACTTTAAGCTTTAATATTACAGCCTCTAGATTAAAGGGGACCAAGCTAGCACCTCTAAATCCTCCCTAGATATTGCTCCTAGTAATAAAGGCATTAAAAGCTCCTTTAAAGCACAGTAAAAACTTAAGTTTTGTAATGCAAGTAATCTTGTTGCGCATTAGCAGCTTAGCTTAGCGACTATTAGCCTTCTTTATTAGGGCAAAACAACCTACGTTAAGCAGCTGCAACAGGTGCAATAAGTGTGTAGGCATACACAAGGTAACAATCTTGTGTTCTTTACAGTACTAGTAGAACTTAACTAAATTATGGCTCTTATAGCTGTCTAGAATAAGCAGCTAATAGCTGCTAACAGTGCGCTCCTTTGTGTGCTTATTAAAGTGCTTCAGCTACTTAATACTAAGCTTGTTATTAGTCTAGCTATTCTTAGAGATAGTAATAACCTAGTTATAAGGTAAAGACAGCTCCTTATACTAGGTAGAGAGGTAGTGCTTGCCTTAGAAGATAATAAAGGGTAGGATACTCTATCCTAACACATTAATACCCTAGATAATACTAGTCTACTCTTAGTTGCCCTACTATACTGTCTTTAGTCTTCTACAACGCTCTAAGCCTGTAACAATAGCTCCTATTAATATAACACCTATTATAAACCTAGACTTGTTAAAATTATAGGTGTCTTTATCTAGGATACTATACTTAGCTTTAGTATTCTCTACTAGGCAGAACTAGCCCTAGATTACCTTAGGATCCTTGCAGAGGGCTCTCTTGTAGTTGTACTTTTGATTAAACTTGACTGTAAGCTCTAGGCAACGCTTGACAAATGTGCTAGCCTAGTTCTTGCTAACAGGAGGCTGGTGGGGCTTAGTAAGTAGAGAGTTGGCTATATCCTCTACATTAGTAAGCTAGGGTGGGTATCCTCGCTCGTCTAGCTTCAGAACATGCTGCATAATTACCTCCTCTTTAGTGCTTGTTAGCTTTATTAAGTTGACCTTATAATTGCGTCTTAAGAGCGTTCTAGCATGTTATTATCTTAGCGTTCTTTCTAACACCTTATAGATTATTACAGCGCGTAGAATAGTAAGAGTTGCATCTTGTTTAAGAGCCTAGATTGCAAGCTGTATATCTAGTTCCTTTAAGACGCTTTAAGCCTTTTTGCGTTGAGACATCGTGGGTTGTATGAAGTTTGGTGTGGTCTTGGCAAAATCCGGACACTCGCCCGGGTCGGCCACTCGCCCGTGAGGTACGTTATACTTAGCTTTAATATTAGCTACTAGGCTAAACTAGCCCTGCAGAACCTTAGGATCCTCACAGAGGGCTCTCTTATAGTTATACTTACAATTAAACTTCACTTTAAGCTCTAGGTGTTGCTTAACAAACATACTAGGCTAGGTTGTGCTAATAGGGCCTAGATTACGCTTAGCGCGCAAAGAATTGGCTACAGTAGCCACATCTAAGAGCTAAGGGGAAAATCCTTGCGCGTCTAGCTTAAGAATATATGTTTAATAATTACCTTCTCCTTATTATTATCTAGCTTCTGCAAGTTGGCTATAAAATCTGCTTGTGAAGGTCGCCTAGTGTGTTAGTAGCTTATTGTGCTTTAAGGGACTAGGCTGGCGGATGGGTAGGGTATGCTTTTTTACGTTTTGGCTTATAGCTTCTTAACTAGCAGAGATACGCTTACATAATCTATTATTTAATAGAAGCGCCTAGTATTGCGCCTTCTAATAAAAAAAGAATTAGCTAATTCTGCCTAGTATTAGCTAAGTTATTAACACTACCTAGCAAAGTATACCTATTAATAGGTATGCTTGCTAGGTACCCCCCCTTTTTTAATATTTTCTAGCCTCTAGCTTATGCAGTTTAATAGTTATAACAAAACCTTCTACTATAAAAATATAGAGGTAGTTTTTCTCTTTCTTTTCAGCCCTAGTTCGCTAGAATCCATGTATTATTGATAAGGTTTTGGGGGGTACCCACGAAGGACGTTGGAGTATACCCATTCCGCCAGCCTATAAGGGACCCTGTAGATAGCTGCAGCGCGTTGCTAGGAGAGGGTCGCGTCTTGTTTAAGAGCCTGGAGCGCAAGCTGTATCTAAGCTTCCTTTGACGCGTCTAAATGGTGATGTTAAGGAGACATTAGTGTAGGAAGGGTAGTTGGGTGTGGGCTTGGCAAAAGTGACCAACTCGTCCAGTGACCGACTCGTCCGTGGGGTACGTTATACATTATTATAACGTTGTTAAGTTAGACGTTAAATAAGGTGCGTAAGTTTGGTGGGGTGCGGCGCTCGTCCGTGTGCAGCGCTCGCCTGTGGAATACGTTAGGTACTGCGACAATGTTGTTGTAGAAAGATTCACACTGCAGAGTCCGTCTTAGCGAATGTCCTGGCCAGCGCCTCAATGCTGTCCGCTATGCTCTTGAACTCGTCCTTCTGTTTACCAGCAATCTCGTTGACATCAACACTGTCGTCATCGCCGTCGCTCCACTGAATCTCCATTGTGTTGAAATCGACCTTGATACCCGTACCATAGATGTCCTTGGATGTACTAGAAGGGAAACTGCGAAGAGCACCAACAAGATTCAGAAGTTTTTTTCACGTCGTCACTGAGTATATCAGTGAGCTGTAGTATTCAAACAGATCATTCGGAGGGCTCACGCGGGAACATCGCCCCCATTCTCGTCTGAGGCGCCGTTGTTGGACTTGTTGGTGCGGTGGATCGAGGCAGAGCCGTTGTGGCCGCCGATGACTTCGACCTGCTGTGTGAGTGTGCCTTCTCCTGTCAGCCGCTAGGATTACAACCTCAAAGCACAAACTTGCCAGAGAAAGGCTTGGACAATGTTACCTGCTACCCATCAGATGTGGGAGGAGCGACTTGACGAGGCATTGTGATGGTGTGTGTGTACACTGGTAGTGTTGGAGAAGAAAATGATTGACGATTCCCTGAGGCCAAGTATTGTTATTTTGTAGCACTGATGTGCAGGTACACGCTCCTCTCTGCTAGCTTCAGTCCTGACATCATGATGAAGCTCGCCCGCGCTTGTGCTCCGCATCTCATGCTAAGAACAGTGACTTAGACCTCGATTGGTGAAATTTGAGCTCTAGAATTTGTCGAGCTCTGTGGCGCCCTTGTAGGGTGGCTTGTCAGGTGAAATTGAAGTGTGAATCGCGATATCACATGTGCCATGACATCATCTGTGTGAAAGTTCAGCAAAGTCCAGATGCGAAATCACACAAAGGCCCTTATTCCTTCGTCACATCCAATCGGAAAGGCTTCCGTTTCTTGTATTTTCCTCTCTCACAGTGGAGGATGCCTGCAAAGTTGTCACGAGTCCGCAGTTCTCCCATAAGCTGTCGTATGTCCTTGCCCTCTTCCTCAGCCAATTTCTGAATGCTTGCTTATTGCCATGCAGCCATTAAATCTCTTTTCCAGCTGAAGATCGTTTAAAGCCCATCTCTACCGTGATAGCCAAAGCACCCATGGTCCAAACAGGCCTCAGCGTCTTCTCATACTTGCCATCAACGCTTCCAGAATTTATTATTCCGTCCCACGATTTGATCAGTTCGCGACAATGCTCGCCATACTGTTCCCTGCTGCGTCTCTTGCGGATCCGAGTTCGTACGATCGCTCGATGGTAGTGTTGAAGGACACCGCCTCTCTAAACTTTCTGAACAGACACCTGTGAAGCGCACGTTGATGAAGAACGATGGCGTGTGAAAGCCTTTAGCTTGCGAGTTGACAGATTTACGCTCCATTCCGGGTCATACATCGAAGCCGACGGTGGTGCTGCCATGGGGATGCTGGTGCCTTTGTGAGCGCATAGGATAGCCTTCGTTCTTTTTTAGTATGATCTTGCCATCACGTGAAATATCTTAATGAGTCCTTGATGAATTCTGGAAGCCCCAAAGAGAACGTGAAGGGTTCCGCGCTAATTAATTAGAGACGTATCAAGTGGGGCCACATTGGAGACGCGTTTCCCCTTCATTCATCAGCGTTCTTTTCTTATCAACCAAACCAAGCATGCATCGGATGTGCACTTACGATCATACTGTGAACACTACTTCAACACCAATGTTGACTTTAATCACTGACGTGAGGGAGATTCTGCATCAAGTGTGGAGATGACGGATATTACGGAGATGGTCCCGGCTGTGGCGGACCCCGCATTCAGCCTCCAGGCGAGGGTGTTGTGTCTCAATTCAACTCGCGTCCCAGCTTGCTCTGTATATCTTACCTCAAAGTCAACCAGATGATGGCAGGGCCAATTCGTGTAGCCGCCTGCCACGCAGCGCCTGTCTTCTTATCCGCCAAAGCCACCACACAGAAAGCCATTTCATTCATCAAGAACGCATCAAAGAACAAAGCAAACCTCGTAATATTCCCCGAAACATACATCCCAGCATTCCCAGTATGGAGCGCTTTACGAGCACCAACGCACAACCACGATCTCTTCAAGCGAATGGCCTCACAATCCATCTACGCGGACGGTGACGAGATTCAAGCCCTCCAAGCCGCCGCCCAAGAAACAAAAACCTACCTCAGCATCGGCATCTCGGAGAAAACCCGCTTCAGCTCAGGCACACTATTTAACTCTAACATCATGATCGGCCCCGACGGCCGAGTCCTCAATCTGCACCGCAAACTTATGCCCACCTTCTTTGAGAAGCTGACCTGGGCACCCGGCGATGGCCATGGTCTCAGCGCCATCTCAACGCCATTTGGCAACATCGGAGCCCTGATTTGTGGCGAGAACACCAACCCCCTGGCGCGATACAGTCTGATCGCGCAAGCAGAGGCGCTGCACATCTCGACATGGCCAGCAGCCTGGCCGACGCGCGTCTCCAATGCAGGATCTACCCCGGACCCGGGCGCGAACTATGACAATGTAGCTGCTAATCGCATTAGAGCTGCTGCGCACTGCTTCGAGGCCAAGGCGTTTGGTGTGCTGTGTAGTGGGCATCTGGATGAGTCTGCCATCCAAATCATCGTCGCGGGAACTGAGAACGCGGAACATATCACGCATGTGCTCAGGACAAGTCAGCGCGGAGTGACGATGTATCTGGATCCCACGGGTGCGCCGATACCGGGATTTACTGTTGATAGTGAGACAGGAGAAAAGAGGGAGGCCGATTTTTTGCAAAAGGAGGAGGGGATTTTGTATGCGGATTTGAATCTGGCGGATTGCGTGGAGGGGAAACAGTATCATGATGTTGTGGGAGGTTATCAGAGGCATGATGTTTTTCAGTTGACGGTCAATAGGGAGAGACAAGTGCCGATACGTTTCCTTGATCCTCCTCCGGCGCCTGTCGAGCGACAAAATCACAGTGTTGAGGATATCTCATCATCGCGTTGTTAACTCCCAAAAGCTCCGACGGGTGGAAAGTATTGTGTCCGTCGTTAGGTGTTCTTAGTCGCTCTTGTGCTACTCTTGTGTTGTCGTTGAAATGCTAGAGTTGGGTGGCTATCCGAATTTGATTGTTCTTTTCTGGTTGCTGGAAATGGCGACGATGAGTATCTGACTAAATATAGTACATATATAGGAGGAGAGTGCATGCACATGGATATCGATCATAGGTCGAAATGTGAGGCCGGGCCGTCCCTACTCGACATCATTCGCCCCTTGAAAGACAGCTACACCAAATGACCGCGACCATTTACTGCCCTCCGCGTCATCAACCGACAAGGTAAGACGTTCAATTCCTGCCCCTTTCGAGATGTACGTCGCAATATCACCCTCAACGACAACAGACCCCAACGCCACACCTTCGACAGTGAACGTTGGCTTCACGAAACCCTTCGCCAGCACTGCAAGATCGATCTGAACCGACGAAGCAGGAGCAACAAACGCATGCGGCTCAGCCATGAAATTGAGATATCCCTCAATGACATCATACCCCTCACCGCCCGTCGAGCCATCCCACCAGTCTGCAATGCCGTCGCCATCTGCATCCCAGCTTGCGCTCCTCGTTACAGTCGGGAAATTTTCAAGACCACCGACATCCTTGGGGTTATCGATAATGCCCTGCTTCCCGCCCACGCTGCCGGTATACGTAGCAGTCCCAGTCAACGTTTCGTTGACGATGCGCTTATCATGATCGTCTTGGACAGGTTGCGATACACCGCTGTCGCTGAGGACGCGCTTGTACGCCTCAGTAGCTGATTGTGTGTCGACGAAGCTCTCGAAGAAAGGCTTATCGACGAATTTCTGGTATGCAACGTTACTAATCGTAACGTCGGCCCAACACGCGATGTTGTCTTTCTTGCCTGTACCGTCGGCAACATACTGTTCACTGTTTGCGTCGAAGATGCCTGGCATTGCGTTACCGGCACAGTAGTAAGATTGCGAGCCTGGCATGTCGTCTTCGTATTGGGCGCGGAGAGCATACGTCAGCTTGGAAGCTGGTCCTTGTTTGTACAGGTTAGATACAAATTGCCCTTGGTGCGCGCCACCATCTGTCACGCGAGTGCCGAAGTTGTACACGACGTTGTTGCGGATGTCGAGCTTGCCAGAGAAAGCTGCGTTGCTGTCTACACCACCGGCCATACTCCAACTGCGTCCCTCGGCGTGGGCGATGAGATTGTGATGGAACGACCCAACCTCGCCACCGATGGAGGCTGCAAAGCCGTGAGCAGTACCTGCAGGGTAATTCTTGTGTCCTGCAACATTGAGGGGTTCGCTGATCATGTTACGCTGGAAGGTGATGTTGCTCGCCGAGCGAGAGGAGAAGGCCTCGTCGATTGTCCAGCCCATGCTGCAACGGTCGAATATGGCAAAGTTAGAACCTTGCATTCCCATTCCGTCAATCGTCTGGTTGCTGACTGTACCTGGACGTACACGAATGTGACGCATGATCGTATCAGTCGCACCAGTGAGTCCAAGAGGGAAGCCTTGGATGACCACACCCTTTCCAGGCGCCGTCTGACCAGCAAGGGTGACGTACTGTCCGCTGACCGAGATGCGGGACTTCGTTGTAATGACACCTCCCACGTCAAAGACAATGATGCGAGGCCCAGTAGCGACAGTCAAGGCATGGCGAAGTGTCCCCTCCTCTGAGCTGTCTTCCAGGGTAGTAACATGGAGGACCTTCCCGCCTCTTCCGCCACGCGCAAAGCGACCGTAGCCTTCGGCATCAGGGAACGCAAGCTGGGCAACACGAAAGGTAAAGATCCGACCAGCGTATGTTCCATTCCCAGATACAACATCAATGCGCCAGTAGTAGGTCGCTTGAGCGTTAACGTCGTTCAATACTGTGCTTGGCTCTTTCAATCCTGTTGCTACGCTCTTGAGCACCGTGGGCGAGGTACCGAGATAGACATTGTACGCAGCGCCATCAACTTTGGCGGCTCTCCAGGATGCAGAGACGTCGGTGCTGTTTTCGATCGGGACGATTCTTTCGTCTCGGTGCACTGGGGCAGGAAAGCTGATCTGGTTCTCGAGCGAAGGACTGTCGATCTCGAATCCGTTCAAGAAGGCTCGACCATCTCCGGCTTTGTCAGGGGTGTACACTATCTCAACTGCTTCCCCTTGGGTGGCAGTGAATGATATGTAGGACGAGGCAGCTTCCCAGATATTGTCAACGCGAATTGTTTGTTGGACATTTGCGGCTGCTTCTTTGCCATTGACAGTCACAGATATTGAAGCTGCGGACGTCAACGCATCCCACCCGTTGTGCCATGCCAGGATGGAATGTTTGCCAGTGGGTAACCCGGAGATGCTCAAGTTGATGGCGACCCCTCCTACATTATCTCCACTGTCAGCTATCGTCGAGATGCCTTCGCCAATAACTCGCTCTCCCAGAGATGGGATGATCCTAGAATACACAGCCTTGTTCCAATTCCCGCTAAGTTTACCAGTTGCAGCGGACAGTGTGAACGACAGACCGGTATCGTTGGTTGTAAGTCTCGAGGTTGCGCCTTCGGCTACGGTCCATGTGGTGTAATCGGTATCGCCAGTGTCGCGTATTTTTGCTGGGTTAAGACGGATGCGGACAGTGGTTGTAGGTACTGCAGGTGCGGTGCCGTTTGCCTGTCGACCTTTCAGACCAGTTGGAAAGGCCGAAGCTGCTGCCAATAGAATGCTAGTATAAAATAGTGGCTTCATGGCTAGGTGCAAGTGTGGTAATGAACGTGGTGCTCGGAAGCCGAGAATGAACGTAAATATGAACAGGGTCCCAGCACCAAAATAGTAAAAACGGATGGCGAAGTGCAGTGCTCGGGTTGGAGGACGGTGTTTGGCCGAGCGTAAATTGTGAGCCACACGGATTGATCCGCTTCATCTTGCCATGGGGTTTGATGGACCGAGAAACGGATGGCTGACCGTTACCAATTATCGAAGTTGGCCCGAAGTATTCAGGAGAACCTCCATCTGATGTTCTCTCGCTTGCGCGCTTCCCCGTAGCGCCATTAGCCCGTCGATATTGGGAAGGCGATGATGCGCTTACCTGTGCATGCAATGTTCCTCAAACACGGCGCCCCACATTTCGCTAAGCTTCGTAAAGGCGTTCTGTTTCCGCGAACGAGCGGGCTGGAAAACGATGACATGACTTTGGTTTGTAGGATAATCGATAATCGTCTCTGCTGTGTGTGCATATGTCAAGGATTTCATCGATACATATGTAGGCGGTTGCCAGTGTGGCTACAGGGGTACAGTAGCAGCAACCAATCCGGTCGAATGTACACACCCTGCCCATTCTCTTAACTTAACCGCTTCTTTCCGTTGCTCTCCCCCATTCCCCATTCAATATCTTCCGTTTAGCCTGGCGAATCTGCTCGTCTGTTTATCCGCATCTATACCATGCATCTCGAAAACGGGATTGGAGTCGCCAATTTGTGAAACGGCTGAGTCTGACGGTGCTTCGTGCGTCTCAACGCAGCGGGCGTACTTCGTGACTACTGGCGCGAGTGGTGCCCTTGAGTTGTGGGGTATGACGGGCGCGTATTGTAGTACATCGTGAAAGTGGTCGTGACTTTACTGGCGTCTGCGCTTCACGAAGATGGCAGCGCCTGCGATGAGGACGACGAAGGTAATACTGATGCCTGCTGACAGGCCGACGATGACACTGCTGTTCAGCGCTCCGTTTGAGCTGTCCGTTGCGGGTTGCGTAGCGGCCGTTGCGGCCGAGCTGGGCAGGAATGGCACCGTGGTCGTCAAGGTACGAGCTGCTACAGTTGTTTCGTCAGACGGCGCAAGCGTGGTAATCAGGGGGCTCGATGTTGAGGTTGCCGGCACCGCAGAGCTGGGTAAAGGTGATGATCCTGCCGAAGAGGTCGATTCCGTATCCTTTGCACGTCAGCCAAACAAATTCGTGGGAAGGTCGAGAAAGCTTGTGTGCTAATTATATGAGAGGTGAGGAAAGAAACGCGGCCAGTTGAACAATTTGAGGTGCCTATACAAATGCTATTAGCAGAACAATGGCAAAATAGAGCTGTCTGAGGGCTCGAGATGAACTCTCGAAACCGCGAAGCCGATTGTCGTCTCGGACGCTGAAGGTATGACGAGCGTTGGTGTACATATCATTGCCCCTGTGCAGCACGCAGAAGAGCCGCAAACCACCTGGGCATGGTCGCGGCTGCTAAAGTCTACGGGCCCCGGCAGCGCTCAGCAGCTCAGATGCTCCAATGATAAGCCGTACTATTGGCTGACCTATCGTGATCTGATGCGTTGAGCTCTTCTGCTTTCTTTGTTCACTGACGCCCCTTTGCAAGGGTGGCCACCTCCTTGTTGCCCAAGTCTATGCGCTCTAGGGATCCTATCATCCATCAGGCAGGAAAGCGTTGGCTCTGTGTGAGGTGGTAGGGATGCAGGAATGTTTGAGAACATGGTTGTCGGTCGTGGAGTACGGAGGGGAGAGGAGAACCTGGTAGAGATGCGTTATCGCCACGTGACCAAAATGGCACGTGCGGCGCGGCTTCCTTCAAGAATGATTCAACTATCTATCAGCACACCAAAATGACAGAAATATGCTGACGTCGACACTGTTAACATTGTCTTGTAAGCTGAATGATATAAGAGCAGCAGTGACGACGGATATTTGACCCAGCCCTCGCTATGGAAACCCCAGCCCCGCCGTCCCCCAAACGTACCCGCCTGGGTTCACGATTCGCCTCCAGCGGCTCCGCAAAGCACATGTCCGCATTGTACACCTCTTCGCTCCAGCAAATTTCAAGACCTTTAGGCTGTGTCACCATGGTCATGCCAATCCTCTCTTACGGACTGTTATCGCTGAGACTTCGCAACAAGAGCATCCAGTGTAATGCAATGCTGCGTGCTGGTAAGTGCTGACTTGCTTTGCAGTGAATACGGAGGCTGGATATTGGCATGAAGGCATAGCGACGAACATACAATCTTGGATGGAGAGGATAAGCTGGATATGCCAGCTCACTTGGCCTTACATATTGCACGTCCAATGATTCGACCTCTTCGGAAACAGACTAAGACGCGATAGTGGTGTCAGTGCGGTTCACGCTCCAAGTAATGCGCTGGGCACAGGTTGACATTCGCGCAGAAGATGTTACCATTGCAATTGTGCTTACGGTATAGGACGAGGCGGAGAAGGAAGACGGCGTAATAATGCTAGTTGACAACGCCTGGTCTGCGATTTAACAGAGAAGTGTCGCTTGCCCCTCCTTATCTTTCCCTATAGGTTCGCGTCAAACTTCGGGTCCTTCGCGTTGAGCACTCCGTCATACTCAATCCTCTCCTCCCTCTCCTCTCCATCATCCCCAACCAACAAAGCATGATTCGCTTTGATCAAATGCCACTCCTGCTCATCATACGTCGTCGGCTCGCTCGCAACAATCGTGTGTTTCCCAATTTTCTCGCCCTGGTCCAGCACCGCCTCCTCATTCACGAAATTGTTGCTGTCCGGGTGGCCTGGATACTTCGTGTTGAGCGTGCGGCCGGCGAACTCGGACCAGTACAGGCTTGGTGGCTGCTGGGTGGCGTGGTTGCGAAAGCGAATTGCAAGAAGCTTTGTCCCGTCTGTCGTGCAGAAGTTGAGGCTGTTGGGCGTGTTCTGGTCGCCGAGCTTGGAGTGTTGCAGTCGTAGGATCTGGATGACGGTTTTGCACAGGGCGGCGAACATGGCTTTCAGCGGATATGCCTTCTCCCATGTCGACTTGTCACCATGGTTAGTGAGATTAGTGATGTAGAGCGCCGCTGCGTGCTCGGAGTCTGTGGAGCCGAAGACGTTACAATATGCGTCGTAGGAGAGAAGATCAGTGAGATCGCGCCGAATAGCCGAAAAGTTGGAGATCACGCCATTGTGCATGAAGACGTGGCGGCCGAAAACAAAGGGATGGGAGTTCACCTGGGTCACGACGCTGCCGCTACTTGCGCGAATGTGGGCCAAGACACAGTGGGTCTCGGTGTTGTCGCATAGAGACTTGAAGTTGAAGTCGTTGATTGCAGGGCTTTGAGACTTGTAGAGTGCTGGTCGAGGGCCGGTGATGTGCTTAACGTAGGATGATGACGCTTCTGTGTACCCTAGAACTATGTGGTGAGTATGAATTAATCATAGCATCAGGAGATCCCGTCAAACGCGACCGTGGGTAGGTATGCAACATGACCGCGCGTACGTAATGTGCACGTACAAGCAACACCGAGCCCGTCCATGTTCAACAGCGAGTTGCGCATCCGCAGTAGTTGATCCGAGGTCTGATCAAGCTCTTTCTCATCTCCATGTGGCAACAGCTTAGGAAGGTAGTGCTCCGAGCATTGCTTGCTGATACTGTTTGCAGGTGTAATCAAGACATCTGACAGGAGGCACGGCTCTGTTGGCGAGATGTATGCAAACCAGCGACACATGATGTAGTTGGTGCGTGTAAGATACAGTGGACGTGGACGGGACGGAGGATGTCTGTGTAGGAATTCGAGATTGAGGATGATATATTCGAAAGACGAATAGATGCCTCCTTTCGATCTTCCGTCTTATACGCGTATGCGTGGCTAGTGATACGGTGCGGAGACGTGTGACCTAGTCTGGTACGTGTGCCTGTGTGGTAGGTCGGGTGGAAGACGTTGACTCAGACACGATAGCCGCCTAGAGACCAAGCTATTTTTCGGTGGAAGAGACGGTAAAAATGATGCTCCTGTTAGGTATGAGCTTGTGTATTGTTGCCGGGCTGCTGTTGGGGTGGTATTGAGGTGGGGCATACGGAAAGTGCGGGGCGGCAGTCTGGTGGAGGAAAGTGCAGATCTCAGCCACAGCTCCTCTTCCCTTCGTCTCACTTCATCATGTTTCAACGGTCCTAAGGACGAAGAAATAACGATGAACACAATGGGTAGCTTTGCACTGTCAGAACAGATCGTTTCGCGTGCAGGCGAGGCATGGGTGTTGAAGCGCGTGCTACGAGGAGACCATGCGACAGGATCAAAATGCTACCCTATCCACGTCCTTCACGTGTCCCCTGGCTGCATAGATGAGGGGTCTAATACAGCCGGTAGTGCTTACGATCTGGTGGAGAACCGCTCTGCCTCACCTCCAACACCATCGTTCAGACCAGATCAGCGTAATTATCATGATAGAGCAGGGTCAATCACTCAAAGTCGCGGTGGTAGGTGCAGGAATAGGTAATACTTCTGATAACTCGATAAGCCCAACAAACAGAAGGTCACTTCATAAAGGCGACCTCTCATCAGCCATCGCCCTCCGCAACGCCGGTCACTTTGTGACTGTGTACGAAAAGTACCCGTCAGCCTCCACATCAACAACACTGACTCTCTCGAACGCCATCTCCACCGGCGCCAACATCCTGCGCATCATCGGCAAATGGGGTTCAACTTCGTCAAAATAAATGCAGGTCACAACATGCAAGAGCGCATCTTCCACAGCGATACCACGGAAAAAATGCACCACATTGACTTTAAGTACAACCGCGCCGAGCTCAGTTACGATTAGTTGATCATGCACGCACAAGCCTTCCATAAGGGGTTGTTGTACATAGCACGTCAGACGGGGGACGGGCAGGTACCGATTGCGATACCCATGGGGCAAAAAGCTATTTCGCTGGACTACTCGGCCGGTCGATTGGGTTTCAAGCACGGCAAGGAGACAGTCAGCGACCTGGTCGTGGTGGCAGACGGTGTGCCCAGCAAGCTCATCGATGCAATCACTAACAATACCACACCCTCTCTCCAGGCTGGTCGCCAAGCATACCGATTCATGCATGCGCGCGAGGCTATTGTTGCCGACCCGGAGCTTCGAGCCGTGTATGAGAGTGAGGAGGAGGGGCTAATTTACTACCAGTTCCCGAACGCAGTGTATGCTTCCTCGTCGCTCAGTGCGACAGAGGTGGATCGTTCTACTGCTTGCTTCTGCATCCAGCGCCCAAGAATGATGTGTATGCGATTGATAAGTGAAGCGTGAAAGGGTCAAGAGCGGAGTTGAGGAAGTTGACGGAGGTCCTTCATCCGGTTGCGAGGAAGCTGTGTGAGCTTGCAGCGACGCCGCTATTGTAGACTATATCCAATAGGGAGCCGTCGGAGTATTGTGTCAAAGGGAGAGCGGTAGCAATTGGGGATGCGTGTCATCCGCATTTGCCGCATTATGGACAGGGAGCCGCGGCGGCGGCTGAGGATGCGGCTTTAGAGTCATTACGGTTACCGCGGACGAAGGCGATTCAACCAATCACCATTGCATTTCCAACCCCCATCCGGGAGCTGCAGACGAAGACTCGGACAGCCTAAGACGTGCCCTTGCCGAACAATGTGGACGGTTATGAGAAGACGGTCATTCGGTGGTTCTACTCGTGCGATGTTGGAGCCGAAGCCACTAAACATTGCGAGGAGATAAAATTGTAAATGGCAGGAGATCAAATGCCATGTGAGATCCGAGTTTTGATGTCGAGAAGGTGGGGAGAGGATATAGCAGTAAGTCCTGGGGTGCTTGCTCCAAGATGCTCTGCTACCCGTTCTGTTGTATCTTATTAATACCGTGACTGGACGCCTGCTTCATACTCATGTTACTTCTACTAACCTACACTACCGATATGCGCCGCCACCACTCCGATCCAATACTCCCAGCCCGTTCAGTGTAACCCCACTCCCATTCCTATCCATCACCCTCTCCGGCGGCCCCAACCCCATTTTCTCCTTTTTCTCAAATTGCCTCTCTAGCTCCGCCTCGCGCCTCGCAAGCTCGACCTGCTTAACCCGCTCCCGTCGCGCCTTCGCCTGCAGTTCGCCAAACGGATCGAACCGCTCGCTCTCAGGATCCTTGAAGGGGTTCTGAATCCAGCTGCCGCGGTCTGTCAGCGTTGTTGAGCGCGGCCGACCGGCAAGAACATCATATGCTTTGTTGAGAGGTGGGTCTGCAAAGGGATTTGGTGTGGGTTGCGACAAGGGGATGCGGGAGCCGTTGTGGGTTGAGGCTGTTTCAGGGCGCGAGTAAGAGCCTGGGCCGAAAAGCGTGTCGCTGCGGTCTGAAGACTGCGTCATGTGCGTTGTAGTGATGTGTGCTGTCTCTGGGCGCTGTAGCGCGGCGTAGTTGGCTGCGTCTCGTTCGAGCTCGGCTTCGAGTTTCTCGTTGCGGCGGCGGCGGCGGCGCTTACAGTAGAGGAAGATGCCGACTGCCAGTGCGATTGCGCCTGAAATCTGTTAATCATTCTTCACAGACCATGCGGTGGTTTCAACATACCGATAACGCTAAGCGTGATGGCGGCAGCCTCAGCGCCTTTGCTTATGATGGTGGGCTGAGGACGTGTCCGTCGTGGAGCGTCGTTCTCTCCAACTGGAACACCCGAGAAACCTGCAGGAGGAGGCAGCAATACCGAGACTGTCGTGGTTGCGGGTCGTGTCGGTCGAGCAATCTTGCTGGACAAGATCTGCGTGGATGTGAATGCGGACACGGAAGTTGCAGGAGAGGTAGGAGAGACCAGCGAGATCGTGGACGTCACTCTTACGGAAGTTCTCACTGTTGTTGTTGTTGCCGGCTCCGTGGGCTGTGGCACAACAGCGCCAATACCCCGTGTCGTGGATATCAATGTAAAGGACGGCGAGGAGTTCGGCCTTAAGGTGCTTGAAGTTGTCCGACTTAATGTACTTGACGTGCCTGACGTGCTTGACGTAGTCGACGTGCTTGACATAGTTGACGTGCTTGACGTGGCCAGCGTACTCGATGAGGTTTGGCTTATGTAACTCACTGTCCTCGACGATCGAGCGGCCGTTGTCGAAAGCAACGCAGATGGCCTGGAGGTTACTGCAGATGTTGGCGAGACCTGGCCGCCGCTAGGCGAAACACTCTCCTTCGGCGTTGGTGGCTCGTCATCCTCGGAATCCGAACTGTCACCTGGTGATGGGGCTCGGGTGAATGACGCGCTGCTGCCGGGTGAATCTGGGCTTTCTGGCCCATCCTCGCTGCCAGGACCAACTGCCCCAAGACCAGCCTCTTGTCGCTTCGCATGCGTCGCGAAAACCTGTATAGTTGCAGGACGCCGACGTGGGTAAAATGCCATTTCGACGACTGTATTAATGAGTTGTACACGCAAGTAGCACCACAAGTCAATGTGTGCTGGTAAAAAGACAGTCCCAAGGACGATGAATAAGAAAGTGACCGATCAACGGAGTAAGAAAATACGGCCTGATATTCACAAATGGAGTTGCATCCCAGCTCAGGCGAGAACGAAAGGGAGGAGGAAGGTTCGAGAGACTGGGGCTGCCAATGCTTTAGATGCGGGTGGACAGCCTTGGGAGTTTGCCACCTGGATCTACTTCTCCTCCATGCGCTGTCTCCAGTTTCCGCAAGAGTGGATAGTGGCATCATCAAACATTTACCCTATGAAGTGACTCGCGGGGACCAAGATCAGCGCCAGTGAAACTGATGACCAAGGCCGAAAAAGAGTCAAGACAAGAACTGTGAGAGCAGGAGAAAGGTCGCAACGGGTACCTTGCGTAATCATGTGCAGCGTGATATGCGATAGGTTCACTGAAGATGGCGTTCGTACATGGTTGGGTATGGCGGCAATGCGAAACACGATGGCGCTAGCCGAAGCGAAGATGAAGCACAACGGGCTTCAGGTCACGGCTGGATGATATCACAGCGGAAGCATGGTAACCACGGCCGCACAATTACAGCTCTGCTCTGTCTGGAAGATACAACGGGTGGTGTGGGGTAGATGAGCGTCGCACCTGTCAGGCACGCCAAATGCGGGAGTTGAAGGCGCGCAAATTGAGCCGCGCAGATTGAGCCGCGAATGTCGAATCATGGGGCTATGCATCAAGAGCGCGGCCATGTTCGATGATTGACGCATGCAGCGATGGAGTTGGATCGTGTAAGGAGGCGCGAAATTCGCGTTGGATTCACGTTCCGAGCCCTGGCGCTACCGGTGCTGTAACCGCTTTAAGCGCAGATCGGGCTTCGCAGTTTCCGTTGCGAGACAGAAAAAGCCCGCCGCGACTACGGGAGTGCTCCATCCAGGGCCATCCAGTGACATTCATGTATCTAGTCAGAAGTATGTGAATGCGCTGATGAAGCTGGCGCTGTTGTTCCACTGCTCATGCGCATCAATCTACAGACCATGAGGTTGATGTGACCTTGGCGACATGCAAAGCTTAAACACAGCTACAGGGCATTGGTTCACGAACCCTTAGCCACTTTATTACATACCTATCTGAGGTCTTGAAAGACCACCGCCACAGTGCCCTCAAGCATCCTCCTGCATCGCCACCAACTAGTCGGCGCTTCCCTATGTCTGACCCTGCGTTTTTGTCTCCTTACTTTGTTACTCTTCTGTTACTAGAACCCTCATAGCATCGACCTTTTGGGCCTGAACTTGAGCCTGCCTTGTCTGCATTCTGCTCCAGCGCAAGATTGTCGAGAGCAGTGGAGGAGACGCAGCAACGAGAATTGGGGAGAATGTTTGCACCAAATCTCCTCACGTTAACGGCCTGTCAAGGCTCTGCCTTAGATTAATCTTGTAGTACACGCCACGCTTGGCCAGCAAGTCTTTGTGGATACCGCTTGCGGCGATCTTACCTCTGAAAAAGATAATGATGCAGTTATTGTCTCCAATAAGGCTGAGACGATGCGCGACAGCGGTTGTAGTGTGGCCGCTCTTGGCATTTTCAAGTACATCCTGCCCAACCTTTCCGGGGTCCATGTCACGTGCGGATTTTGCTCTGTCTGGAAGACAGAGACGCGGTTCGCTTATTAGTTAGTGCACGTGTGATCGCAATGCACGTGTGATCGCAATGCGCTGACGCTAATCACCTAAAGTTCGGTAAACCTGTTGCCGCAAAAGGTTCCGATCCCAGGGGTTTTTTGAAGTTGTAGATATCGCGGCGAACTCGACATGTGGGACTATGACTTCAGACCCAACGCCTATAGCGCGATGTTGTCCGGGCGGAGATAGCTGTCTCAAAGCTCCCGCCAGCACGTGTCATCTGCCAAGGCGGCGGGACGTGATAGTGGAAGTGAAGGGCGGAGTCATTCGCAAATTGACGCGTCGCAAACGATGCCTGCTGGCATCTTTAGGAGAACGGCTCCTGTACCTGTTCGCGAACGCGACTGTGATTTCCCGTGTGTTCTTAGTTTCTGCGCATAGATCATTGAAATGTATGTGTACGGCACATAGTGACGTAGTTGACTTTCGGACTGCGCCTGTCATGGTCATCGGCAACCCGTATTCACCAATCTCTATCCTAGTAACGCGAACAGTCGAATCCACAAAGCAATATAGCGGCGTTTGAAGGTCGACAGTCCTATGCTCCGGCGAGTGCTGCGAAAGGGCCGAAGATAGGTCTTGCAGCGGTCACCGTCGGCGGCGTTCCGGAGCCCTGCGCGCCCGCCCCGACACAATTTCGTCGAGCCACCCCTTCGTCTTCGGGTGCCGCGCGATCAGTTCGCCAGACTGCCCAATATGAGCGAAGATATGGACCTGGATGGTTCGAACTCTAGGCGTGCGGTATGTGGAGGCCAAAGTTGTACGCTGTGATTTGCGCTTACAGTCCTACCAGTGCGACTCGTGCAGAACGCGAAAAATCCGGTGCGACCGATCTGTGCCTTGTTCAAATTGCAAAGCAAGCAAACTTAGTAAGTACATGAATTGATTTCAGCTTTGTGTTCGCAGAGCCATGTTTTCCACTTGAGCCTCAATCGGACACTACCCATGCACGTGAGCGAGCCAGCGGATTGCAGTGATCGGGTGCCCACTCTTTAGTAACTACACTACACCGCTGTACTATGCTTTTCAGGAGTTGTACACTATCGATCACACAACGTAACGCTCGAGCTGCTAATTCCTCAAGCTTGTACAACGACAGCACCCGTACAGAAGACAGTCAGGCAGCGAGTGCACATTTCTGAAGAGTAGTAAGTTGCACCATCACTTACCTGATCTCCATTCACGCCGAGCTGCCGGAATGCTGCAGTCAATCCTATCGATGTTAACTGGGGCAGTGAGAAGAAGATCGATCGCATCGAAGACAGGCTGTCTGGAATCGAAAATGTCCTCTCCAAATTGGCCTCCAAGTTGGGTAATCTGGATCCACAGAAAGACTCTACGGAGCGAAGCAGCCAATCTCGAGTTTGTCGTGTCGGCAGCCGCGTGGGGTCTGGCAAAAGTCCAACTTTGGGGACCGAGGCCAATACTCCTGCACCATTTGAAGGCGAGACAGCGACCAATAGCCAGTCTGGGTATGCTCGCGAGTTTCTTACAAGAGTTGTTGGCGACACACCCTCTATTGGGCAGAACGCAGAGATCAGGTCCGCTTTGAGCGCGTTGGGAGACATAGTCAAAGGTCAGGAGCATGTCACTGTGTCCACGACCTCCACTACGAACTCCTTGATCAATCGCGCTCTCTCAGATCTTGATCCCGGGAAGCTTGAGCGACCACCATGGTCTGCAGTCAAGGAGATGCTCGAGAGGGCCTTCAGTAGGTGATATGGCCTACGTCCACGCACAATTTCTAATGGTAGCAGAGTACCCGACTATGGCGTTCGCAGTCATTTTCCCCTTTCTCAAGATGCGCAATTTGTTCGAGATCTTTGAGGATGCCTACATAGACCCAGCTCAGTGCCCAGCTCCGCGCCGCATTCTGGCATATGGTGTTGGCTACAATCTCTTCACCGAGTTCTCTGCGATGCCCTGGTGCAATGGCTTAGGCCAAAATGTCCTTCGGGGGTAGGTCATTTCAACCAGTCTTAGGGTCGAGATTGTGCTAACACGCATGTAGATATGCCACCAAGTGTAGGTCTGCACATATCGGCGTTACGTGTCTAATGCACTAATTTATGTCTAGGCAAATACCACTTAGAGGTCGCCATCAGCCAGCTTGATGTCTTCATACCTGCTAGCTATGAAAACGTCATGGCCCTTGTTCTCGGTGCTGCTTGTGCTATTGAGATGTGCAAGCCATCTCTTGCATGGGTCCTGACTTCCATGGCAGCTGGCCAGAGTCAGGATTTGGGCTACCATCGCTATCAAACTTTCCACAACGATGACGAAGAAGAGCGAAACTCCAAGGTTCATCTCTTTTGGATGATCTACATGCTCGATAAGCAACTCTCACTGCGCTTGGGTCGCGCAAGCGCCATTCAAGACTGGGACATGTCATTACCTTTGATCATATCGACGCCCACCCCCGCAGCTATGGCGCTTGGCGCTAGCCAAATGATGATCTACTGGATTAAGGTTGCGAAGGTGCAAGGCCAGACATATGAGAAGCTTTTCAGCCCTGCAGCATTCCTGAATTCTCCAGCGGAGCGCATTCGCACTTCCATGAACCTGATTGACGCGATGAATCAGGCATGGTATGAACGGGGAGAAGCAAGTGTCATGGACTTTACGCCTTTGACTACAGGCCAAGACTTGTCAAAGAGGAGGAAGGTGGCTATGACCAGTCCTACCAGTCCTAACGATACGGAATTACCATCAAAACGCAAACGTTTTGTGCAACAGCCGTTTGGCACATCACTACCGCCTGAAGAGTATATTCAAGGTATGGCGCTCGCACGCCCGTCAGCAATTCATTAGCTGATTTACTAGGCTCTTTCGAACGCGTTGAAGATGTTTTCTTTCACGCAGATGTTGTGATGCACTACTCAACTTGCGCACTCATCCAGCGTGCTGTCAGTACCGACAACGTGACCTTCAGCCAAGAATGTCTCGAATACTCAAGAGCGGCACTTGTTGCTCACGAGAGATGCAATGCTCAGTTCAATACGAAAGGCAATGAAGAACTATGGACAGGGTACATACACTGGTCGATTCTTCAGGCACCCTTCACACCGTACGGACGCCATTCCTGATGCTTGTCGCAGCTACTGACAGCCTTAGATTCATCGTTGTCTTTTGCAATGCCATTCAAAAGTCCGACACGGTAGATCTTGACACCCTTGAACAGTTCGTTGCCAGTCTTGAGTCCTGCCGCACAGTGTCCGAGGGCGCCGACAAGCTCTACAAAATGTGTCACCTGTTCCTGCAAGTTGCAAAGCTCTATATCCAGGCTAAGAATAATGATGCGAGAAATCAGCCACAGAATGTAACACAATCCGTGCCAAACAACATCTACACTACAACCGACGGCACGCAACTGGACGTCAGTACCATGACGCAGTTCGATCCTTATCTTAGTGCCCTTGGACTTGTACCGAACTCGGCTTGGCCAATGGCTGGTTACGCTGAAACTACTGCGATGCCAACAGCCATGGACTCATTTTCAAATGTACAGAATCCAGCGAATACACATGGCTCAGGCGTTTTCGGTGTAGGCTTTGCTCCTAATGGCATGCCTCAGAACTCTGTCCAAGATTGGTTCTCAGGATCGCGCTATCTCATGAATTTGATGGAAGCCGGCGACGATATGCAGATGCCGGACCTGGGTAACTTTGACATTCAGTTGTGAGCGACCTAGCAGTCACGACCTGATCACATTACAAGAACGAGCTTCTTACACGCACCGACTACGCATATTGAACGCCGTCACGGAAAGATGAAAAGAACCGTAAACGAGCTGTTCACATTCACACCAGACAACAAAGTAGGTAACGTCTGCGCACTATTAGTTGTTATGACGCAGCTGACAAACGTAGCGCCACCAAACAGGCAAGAAAGTCGCACGGCGATGGAGAATCTGCAACCCATCATATTGTCCTGCGATGGTAGTCCTACAAGGCTGTCACTCATCTCAAGTCTACCAATGAAAGCGCTCAGCCCACTTTATCCCTGTATCCAGGCGTCCAATGCACTCCAAATACCTCAATCTCACTCAGCAAGATGCCACTGGTGTCAAAAAGATGTTTAGCATACATGCAGGCGAGTGTTGTCTACTCCTGCATGCTGCGACATCTTCCAAGGAAAATACTACCCGGTCTGCTCGAAGCGAGGAAGGTGGGGAAACCGCGGGGCACTGTAGATGCGGTAAGCACCAACGGGCCGGTAGCGAGGCTGGCACCTGTGTCATCAGTGTTGCGCGCTCGTCTTACAGGATCCTCATGTTGCGTCAAGAATGGCCGTCGAGACATGCCGGTCACTGCACACGGACATGGCTTGGCGAAGACCCACAAATGAGCATGAGTGAATGAGTCGCACCTAGTTTGCCCAAGTACCATCAACGGTCTAGCAATTCATTAGCGGATGACCAACCTTGCAGACTGTAGATCGTCTCACATCATGGTCAATGCCGTTGCTCGTCTGGAGACAACTATAAACGTGGTCACTGTCAGCAACACCTCTTCTTCAAGCGCTCCTTCCTCAAACCGCTTCTACAATCATGGTGCTCAAGAGCCATTTATTGCTGCTCTTACCATCCACTGTTCTCTTATCAGCAATTACTACTGTCGCGTCGAAATGTGCGGCCGGCGTCCTCCCAACACCGAGCGTTTTTGGAGCCTCCGTCCTGACCCTGGATGCCGTTGAATCGACCCTTGAATCTACGTCCATTGACTTCTGCAATGTCACGCTCACTTATACGCACCCAGGACAGAGTGATCTTATCAAGGTCTGGCTCGGCCTACCCAACGCGTGGAACGGCAGATTCCAAGGTGTTGGAGGTGGCGGCTGGGTGACTGGCTTCCCTTCTGAAATGGTATCAGCCATCTCGCAGGGCTATGCTGCAGTCTCGACGGACGGAGGACACGATGGTTTTGGCGAAATTGCAGACTCGTGGGCGTTGAACAGTCCGGGAAATGTCGACCTATACGCATTGCAGAACTTCGCTTCCGTGGCACTCAACGATATGACTGTTTTGGGCAAGCAGCTGACAGAAGCGTACTACGGCAATCCCATCTCGAAATCATACTGGTCTGGCTGCTCCACTGGAGGTCGTCAGGGTCTCATGCTCGCGCAACGGTATCCTGGGACTTACGATGGTATCCTGGCACAAGCACCGGCGGTCAACTGGGAGTTCATCGCTGCTATGTTCTGGCCTCAATGGATTATGCAGCAGATCGGGTACTTTCCGCCGCAGTGCGAGCTGGACGCTATCACTACTGCCGCCACGATTGCGTGCGATGAGCTCGATGGGCTAAAGGACGATATCATCGGACTGACAGGCCAGTGCGACTTTGATCCCAGCACCGTCGTTGGCCAAGAGTACGCCTGTAGTAATGTGACGGGCGCGATCTCGAAAGAAGCGGCGGAGATTGTCAGGAAGACGTGGCGAGGGGCCACGAACGCGGAAGGAGTACTGCAATTCCCTGGCATCGCTCCAGGTTCGCCCCTGGGCGGCATTGTTGGTACCACGTGCGATGCGAGCGGAGTTTGCACCGGTAAACCCTTCCTCATAACGACAGACTGGCACAGGCTCTTCATCCAGAAAGACCCCAACTTCGACCCGTACAATTACACTCGGGCGGGCTGGGATGCATCTTTCCACGCTTCCGTGCAGCAATACACGTCAATTATCGGCACCAGCGACCCTGACCTCTCTGAGTTCAAGAACTCAGGGGGCAAAATGATCACATGGCATGGTATGGCCGACCAGCTGATACCGTTCAACAGCACGGTCCACTACTACAATCGAGTGCTCGGGCTGGACGTCAATACGACAGACTTCTACCGATTTTACTCCGCGCCAGGTGTCGACCACTGCAGGGGAGGTTTGGGTGCTGCGCCAACAGATCCCCTGGCTGAGCTGGTATCCTGGGTTGAAGACGGCAAAGCGCCGCAGACGCTGGCTGCTAATCGAACTGTCAACGGAACGGGCTGGAAAAAGGAGCTGTGCTTGTTCCCGCTGTCGTCGATATACAAGGGCGGCGATCCGGCTGTTGCATCGTCGTACTTGTGCGAGTGATGCACACGCTCCTATTCAGTGAAGACCGATGACATGGTTCCGACCAGGTCTGACTAGATCACTGCAAGGATAGTAACGAGTGCAGGTGGGTCTGAACTGAGAATCGATGTAATGATGAACTTCTTCAACGTAAATAGGGCATTTACGACTGTTGTTGGAGAGAGGCAGTACGAACAGCTAGTTAGTGGCATACATTAGAGCTTGAATTGCTCGCCGTTCAAAGTTCTCGAGCAACAAATTTTGCTTTCCATCATGAAGGTCATTTGCAAATTTCACTGAAACAACCTAAAGCCTGCGATAGGGCATGCTGAAATCCCCTCTCACAACATCGCCAATTGAGATCAGGCCACTCACACTGCTCAATGCCGCTTTGTGACATTCAACTCGCCCATGACGACATTGCTGAAGGGGTCTACCACGAGTTCCACCTGCTCCTGTCTCAGGAAAACTGGCCTCTCAACCCATAGATGATGTTTTCGCTGGATGTAGTATCCGATGAACCATTTGAGTTGATCCATGCCGTGCTTTACGTACTCGCTGGTTGGTTTCTCGAAGACTTGGTCAAGCTGCTCCAGAGTCAAGCCTTTCGTTTCAGGTACGAAGAGCAGAATCATCCACCAGCCAATCAAGCACCACACTGCGTACCAAGCAAATGCACCAGAAGGGCCCATCCCTTCCTTGCCACTCATCGCTGGCCAGGTGAAAGAGACGATGAAGTTGAAAGCCCAGTTGATGGCGGTGACGATTCCCATGCCGTAGTCACGATTGTAAAGAGGCATGGCTTCGGACGAATAGACGAACGGAACTGGACCTTCACCGGGCGAATAGGCGATGCCAAACAGGTACATGCCAATGATTGTTAGGACACGTCGAGTGACTCCATTCTCGATAGCAAAAGCTACGACCATGATGCCTTGGAAGAGAGCCATGAACGGGAACGTGAACAGGAGGAGGTTACGGCGACCAAATGTATCGATAGTCCAGATGGCAGGGATGGCAAAGACAAAATTGATGATACCGAAGCCCATTGAAAGTAGGAGCGCGTCGTTCGCGCTCCAGCCTGCGTCGTCACGCATGATCTTTGAGGAATAGTACGCTGTCACCTGCTCGACGTTAGCTAATATCAATTGCTCACAGAGAACACGCACATTAACGCCACACATCTGCTGAAGGAACATGCAAATGACGGATGCAGTGAGAGCGCGTCGACACCGGCCAAGCTCAAAGAGTTCCCGAAACCGTTTCTGCTCGTGCATGATCTTTTCTTCCTCAGCCAGGAGATGGTCCATCAGGAAAAGATCGCGTGCCGCTTGTACTTTGTCATTACGAAGACTCCGTAGCGCCATGAAAGCCTTCTCATACAGATCCGGAGCCCTCTCCTCGTCGGAGCATTTTCTAGCCCTCTTTATCAAGACGCGTGGGGACTCTGGTAGAGTATAGACGTAAGCTACCACCACTAGTGGCAAGATCATCTGCAAGAGTCAGAAGAAGGTGATAATTTAAGTATTAAGTGCTTACCGGGCTCCCAACCATGAGCCTCCAATTCAAACTGCAAGTCTTGGAGAGAAGAGTGCGCTGGAAGGAGGTGCCGGAACAATCTCCACTTCTGCCATTTTTGCGGACGTGGTCGGCGCATGCTAGAGCGGCATCGGTACATATGTCCTGAGTGACGCCCCCGACACGAGCAAGGGCAACACCGGCAACGTATCCGCACATGATACCAAAAGCTGTCCACATCTGCCACATCATGACCAACGCTCCTCGAATATTCTCCGGAACAGCTTCGGCTGCATAGATGGGGATTGTAGCGCTCTTGGGCCCAATTCCGAAACCTAGGGCGAATCTTGCCAGGAACAAATGCCACCATTTCTGCGAGAATGCCTGCAGCAAACAGGTGACCGAACTAATCAGACAAGTTGTGAAGATGACACCACGCCGGTCGAGATATTTATTGAGGGGGTAGTTGAGGCAACAGGCTACCGCGCAGCACAGATAGGGTGCCCCGTTGACAAGCCCGAGCAGGTTGTCATCGTGTAAGCCCAGTGCTTCTCTAAAATAGATTTGTGCGCCATTGACAGCTGTTTGATCCCTGAAAAGAGTCAGACTTGGTTCGCAGGTTTGAGCGTTTTGCAAACAGACCATCCTTGAACAGCGGCACCTAGGGAGCAGCAGACGACTAGCGCATACAGTCGTCTTGGCTGATGGAAGCGATCTAGAAATCGACTACTGTGCTCCAACCTAAGAGCCCTTCGTTCTTTGGGCTGGAGTGCCAGGTCGCCTGTCTCTTCTTTGTCTAATGCAGTTTTGGACTGTGCAAGCAAAGCTCCTTTCTTGAAGAGCACATTGTGCTCTTTGAGACCGGAACGTTTGATGAAATCAGTAACATGCTCGTCGAGTCGATTAGGTGTCCACCCTGCAAAGGGTCTGCGAAGTCGTCGATCGGTCATATTGACGGTACTGGCGCTAATGGAAATAATTCAAACATCTACAACTAGAAAGGGGTTTGAGCAGCATATAGGAGCTGCAAACAGCCCCCATATGAGACATGCATGCTCAAGGCGGGCTGAGCAGGCGAGGCTGAGCTGAGGCACACGTGCGAACAGACAAACGGGACAAACGAGGCAAAAAGGCCGCAATTCTGCCTTGCACAGCGGCGAACGCATCCAGTGAGCGACTCTGCAGCGACATAGCGGCTTGGCAATGTGTTCTGACGTTGTGTGCAACGACTGCCTCACCACACAGATGCGAGGAGGCTGCACACGGTGGCTGTGATGTCTGCACCAGCCCACTTCCACGCGCCGTGGCAGCATTTCGCAAGCGTTGTGGAGTCGATCGCATACTTCTTCGGAACAAAATGCAGGTCCTCCAGCAAAGAGGAGGGCTAAGCTGTGCATGTGGGAGATTGTTGGAGATGAGTCCTGGAGAACCTGGGGCGCTGCGCCGGCCCGCTGGTCAATGCGGCAGCCGCCACTCCGGCAGCCACCACATGCACCCGACTCACCAGCCGGCTGCCTGCTTCGTCATCGCCGGAATCCTCTCCATTTCTTCCAGGTTCAGCCTTGTGCGCTACACGTTCGTTGACTGCCATGCTACCACTGTCCAAACAACTGCACCATGGCCGGATCCACCAACGAGATCGAAAGATCTCTTAGATCGCTGAATCGCATGATACCCAAGCAACCATTCGATCATGTCGACGAGGAGAAGATTGCCAAGATACAAGTCAGGCTGCGTGACCTCGAATCCGCAGAGCCACCTGCCCGGGAGACCACTGCCACAGATCGACAGCGCTGGAGTGACAGCCCTCGGGCATACACTTTGTTGCGTTCTTTATCCTGTGCCCACGAAGAAGTGGTTGCAGTGATCCTCAAAACGAAGATCAACGATTATTCAATACCCCTCAGTCCATCCATTCTAAAACACCTCTCTATCGATATCGACGAGGAAACGCTTGAGGGTGTTCAGGCCGCCTTTCTATCCAGCGACTCCCAGATGAGGGCTGGAGCCCTCACAGGGTTGCAGCCTGACCACAGGCGCTTAGAACAAGGCAAACTCTTTCTCGAAGATGTGAAGGCACTCGGTCGCGGCAGCTCTGCAATGGTCTACAGCGTGCGTCACCGTGTATCCAAGAAAGAGTTCGCATGCAAACGCATCGAGCGTGGCCCCGCCAGATTTCAGCATGACAATCTTAGAGACTTCCTCCGGGAAGTCAGAATCTTACAGCGACTTCATCACCAGCACATTGTCAGACTCATTGCAAGCTACACGGATGAGGCCACCTTCTCGTTAATACTTCTGCCCGTGGCAAATGATACCCTCGAGTCGCTGCTAAGACAAATGTCCTCAGCTTCAGATCCACTTTCGACGCAACATCAAGCTAGCACGCCTTCAGCCAATGAACAGGGCGAGTCCATTTTACGTCACGCCTTTGGATGCTTACTGTCGACTCTGAAGTACCTACAAGATCATGCGATCCGGCACAAAGATATCAAGCCCTTAAACATCCTGCTCAGCGACCAAGGCAGCATCTATCTGTGCGATTTTGGTATCAGTCTGGACTACTCTGAGACCAAAGAGGCTACCACAGAAGGTCGCGTGCTTGGTTTCACTCCCGGATACTGCGCTCCAGAGGTTGGGAGTGGCGAAGCAAGAAACGCTCTTTCAGAAGTCTGGTCGATGGGGCGTGTTTTTTTCGATATGATTGTGGTGCTGAGAGGGCGGTCTATCGAGCATGCACGGGATTTCATCGGGTTGAATACTGAGAGAATGTCGTTATTGATCAGGGAGTTCCTTGCGCCTCTCCAGGAAGAGGTTGATGGAAATTGCGACAATTCGCTCGTCGAGCTTACTTTGAGCATGGCGAGTGTACTCACACGCATCCTTGTCTACTGGTCCGCTGACATTATGCAGACAGCCGACAAGAAAGACGACCGGCCTAAAGCCTCCGACCTCCTCCGTGCCGCCCTATTTAATGAGGAACACTTGTTCCATCACTCGTACATAGGGCGCTGTTGCAGCCGGTGTATTAATGATGACATTCCTGAACAGCTAGACGGGTCTTCTGTAGCAAGTCAGCCAAACATTAAGTCGACTCCAATGATCAACGCCGATACCGGTTCGCTTGGGGATGAATCGCACAAGCCAATACGTCTATCTACATCCACTGTCGCACGTTCGAACATGAGCGAACTACCAGGTGATGAGCCTGTGCCACCAATCGGACATGAATCCAGCCATACCACTTCCCCCGAATTCTTCCATCACGATATCCATGGCAGCGATGTACGACCTCCAAGGCTTGATCTGCCAAGAGAAACTTTGCTTGAGCAAGTTCTTATTGTAGAAGACCGCCGCACGAGTAATTCGAGTACATCCGGACAATCTCAACAGCAGCGCTCCTCTGCTTCTATCGACGTGTCGTCTTCCACCCCATCTCCCCCCCCTAGTGTACCAACTTTGTTGTCGCAAAGTCCCCCCACCGGATGTCTCTGCATGGCACGTCCTGGTGAGACCGGCATAACAGGATCACAGATATTTAGCACCCCATTCGCTTCAAGTGCCATGATACTTCTGCAGTGCACTACTGAGAAAGGTGCCAAGTGTACGTCCTTGGAGAACAATGTTCGTGTGTTGGAGTCGTACATGCAAGGCACTATCATGACATCTGGGATATGGCACAAGACCCGTCGATTAGTGATCAGCGACAAGCCAAGCCAGGTTGAGGTGCAAAGGTGCAACTCCTTCTGGCTTCCGCTCGCCGATATCCAGTACGCCTGTCGTGGCACACAGGTAATGCTGCAATGGTCAGACTGCAATCAGACAAAGGAGCAACGACTCGGCGACTCCAACCTGACCTATTCACGAGTCTATAAACCAGAGACGCCGAACAACAAGGTCGAAATCGTTTTCAGAGATGTGGTGGCAGCTCAGGCATTCATCGACGTCGTCACACGTGCCAACTCGGGCTCGTCTATTCTTTGGCGACGACTAGGGACACCGCTCACGCAGGAACTACGCCTGTACAAGGTGCAGCAAAAGCCAAGTCATTTCATCGTCCATGTGTCAGTCCCAACGGTCCCGGGAGGCGACATTGTACAGTCGAAGCTGTTCATACAGCAAACCGACTCGATCCTGGATATCTGGACCCATTCGCTGGTACCCGGTGAGCGCACATTGTCAGTGCGGTTCTGCGGTCGCGTCTCGACGCCGAATTATTCCTCCGACGTGAATGACAAGCCGAGCGACGACACCGCCACGGTAGCCCGATGTTCGAAAGCGATGCTTGTTTTCAGCGAATACAAATTGGACTTCCCTCTGATCTCAGACACAGATGGCATTGGATTGCCAACAGGTAGAGTTCAAACAATACAGCACCCTGACAGGATCTAGCTGAGAAAGACCAGATCTACGAGAGATTCTTGAGCTGGTGACGGGCTGGACAATCTGCTTCCTCGCCTCCGGCGTCAAGGTGACCGCACCAAACGCATTCAAGAAGACCACGGACTACGGTCTCTCAGACGTCACACTCTGGGAATCCAGTCGAGACGCACACACGGACGCGCCACGAGAAGCAATCTTCGCATTCCGCCAACACGGCCCCAAGAAAGATTACCTATGGAGAACCGCAACGAGTACACAATATCCCCCAGCGCTCCAGAGTATCAGAGCAACTAACACGTCCCAGTAACGGCACAGTCGCAAGCGACATACAAATCCCCCGACGCCGAGATAACCATCTTCGGCAAATCCAGCGGCGACCTGCTGGACACTTCCACGCTGCGCACGACCACAGCCAGCGCGCTGCCGACTCACAGCGCCACCGACGCGCTGGCGTCGCGCAAGCGACCCGCGGGCAAGCAGAAGAGCGCCCGCGAGCCCACCACGCTGAAGCTGCGCTTTGCGCGCCACGCTGAGTACAAGAGCTTCTCCGCGTGCTTCGACGAGCTGCTGCAGACGGCGTGGGTGGATGCGCAGCTGCAGACGCGGCGGCGCGTCGCGACGTATCTGTCGCGCGACTCGCAGTCGACCGACTCGCGCGCGGGCTCGTTGCAGCAGGGCGGGCGCGGGCGATGCTGAATCCTTGATGTTTCTGTGTGTGAGGGGGAGGGAGGGAGGGAGAGAGGGACAGAGAGGGAGAGAGGGATAGAGTGACAGAGAGGGAGAGAGGGAGGGAGAGAGAAGCGTTCGAGCAGGCGATACCCGGTTGGAGATAAAGTTGTAACTTGGCGACGACCATATCGTGTCGAAGTTTTGTTTGAATTTTGTTTGATTTGACAACGTCAACTAGACAAGAGTCTGCTGCTGCTAGTACAATGTTCAAATCAAACAAGAGAGATTCTAGCTGTCCAAAATTTCAACCTGTTCAAGGTGTTGCCGTAGCTGATGACCCACAGGTAGTTTTTTGTTCGTTGCACATGACATGTCAACTACCGCTCTCAAAAAACCCTTCACCACAGCCACGCGGTAAAAACAAATTCCACGCCTAGGCCTCTAAAATCAACCCTACTAAATTAATGACTGCCATCTGTCCAGTCTCCCTCAAAGTCCACATAGAAGCCCAAATCAAACCGCCAATCAAACAAATGGCAGCTCTGCAGCTCTATCAAACTAAACAACCAAACTACAGCACTGCAAAATCGTCAAACCAGCAAAACCAGGGCCTTGAGTCTTGCTTGTTCTGCGAATTGACAGCGTTGCGAGTGCGCGCTGTGCTGCGGCGGACGTGAACAGATCAGTCCGCGACGGGCAAGGCATGTCTGCGTGCTTGCTCCGGACGACGCAACACCACGACTGTCGTGTATGCTGCGTCTGGAGCTTCGCTTGGTTTCCCGGACGATGCTGCGAGACGGGGGACGATGCTGCGAGACGGGGGACGATGCCGCGAGACGGGGGACGATGCCGCGAGACGGGGGACGATGCCGCGAGACGGGGGACGAAGCACGGTGCGTCGCTCGAGGGCATCCGGGCATGGGCATACCATTCATCCACGAGCAATCCACGGCTGCCATCCGCCGAGAAACGCGGCAGCACAGTGACATGCGATATGAGGCGTGTTTACAGCGTAGAAGTTGATGATTAGATAGAGGTTAGATACTAGCACACTTCGACACGGGTGCACAGGCTGCGGTACGTAGTAGCTTGTATGAGCAACAGACAGTATGAACTCGTCCAGCTGCTGCTGCTGCTTCCACCCCCCGTTGCCCACCCTGAATCCCCTACTCCTTGACCCCCCGACCCCCCGACCCCCCGCAGATTATGTCATGGAAAATGCAGCGCGGTCTACCTCAGCCTTGGCGTGCGCGCCTCCGGACTAGCCAGGCTCTCGCGCCTCTCGCCCTGCATAAGCGGGACGCTCGGCATACCAAGACTCGTCTGAAAGATGCGCGCGACGAGGGCCTGCACAGCGCGCTGGACATGGCCCGCCATATCGGTGCCGAGTATTCCAACAACAAGCGGTGCGAAGACGGAGGTGAGGCGCTCAAACTCGGCGTCGGGGAACCCCGCATACCCGTCGAGCACGGTGACGACGACGGGCCGCCAGGTCACAATGTTGCGCTGCTGCGTGTCGGGGTCGAGCTCAATGTAGCTCTGCACAATGTCCGCGCAGAGCGGGATGAGGGCTTTTTCCGTGTCGGCGCGCGATGCGGCGCGCTCGGGCGCCGTGTCGAGGTACATGCGGAACAGGATGGCGACGTAGACGGACGCGGAGCCGGATTCCTGCTTGAGCAGGTTGGGCGGCTGCTTCATGAAGCCCTCGCGGAAGAGGCGGGCGCGCAGGTCGCGGGCGGCGTTGAAGCGGCGGGCAAAGTGGAAGGACTTCTTGAGCACGGCCATGAGGCGGAGGAGCTCGTGTGACGGTATGTGCGAGTAGACGGCGTCGTTGCCAAAGAGCTCCTGCACCGTCTCGATCATGAGGAGCTGCAGCACGCACTTTGTGATGATTTGGTTGAAGAAGCGGCGGCGCGCAGCGGTGACGACGACGGGGGGCTGCTGCGGGTTGTCGTCGGGCCGGTAGTCTTCGAGATCGCTTGTTTGGCGGGCTGGCACGTCGCCAGCTGTGGGCTCTGTGACGAGGGAGGGCCGGTGCGGGGCGTCGAGGCCGTTGATGCCAAGGCCTGTGGAGCTTTCAGAGGGCTCGGTGGCGGGCGGGGTGTCGAGGTTGATGTTTGCAGATTCGGCAATGGATTGTGCGTCGGAATTCGCGCGTGTGCCGTTGAGGGGCGTCGGGGTGGAGCCGGAGGTGGCGGCGGAGAAGAGCGCAGAGGCTTCGGTGCGGTGGAAGAGGTCGACAAAGGCTTTGACGATGAGGCTCCAGTGCTCTGCGGTGAACTTTTGCACGTTCTGCAGGATCAGTTGTTGCAGGCAGTTGCTGCCGATGCGGGCGAGGGTGTCGTTCTCCTGGCAGATGCAGAGCGCGAGGAGGTCGAGGAAGCGGTCGAGCATGTACTCTAGCGCGTCGAAGAAGTGGGTGAAGAGCTTGATCATATTGCGCAGGGCTTGGATCATGGTCGTTGAGAGCCACACAGACAGCTCTTCGTGGTTCAACACCTTGGTCATCTCGGACTTTGACTTCAGGACCATGAAGATGGGATACAGCAGCTGCCGCCACAGCATGTCCCAGAAGTCGCGAGGAAAGTTGCTCCCGTAGCTGACGAGGGTGTCGAAGAGGTAGCTCAGTGCTCGCGAGCGCACTTCCAGATCCTCGCCGGTCATGAGGACGTCGTGGAAGGCAAAGAGCACGGGGAACCAGAACTGCTCTTCCTGCGTCTGGCGAGTGGGTTGCTTGGGTATGGACGAGCCCTTGTCAGAGTCCTTCAGGTAGCCGGCGTGGGCGGACAGCGAGCACTCTGGAGTCCGCAGCATCTTGGGCACCGACGACTTTAGCAGCTCGATAGCCTGCAGGGACTTTTTCTGGAACTTGTAGTTCTTTGAGAACTCGGTCAGGCAGACGATGAGATCTGCAAACGCGCCTTGTGAGATGACGACTCCGAAGCGCGTGTTGTACACTTGCGTGACGTTTTCAAACGCAAGGTTGACGATGCCCTCTGCGGATTGCGTTAGCGGTTGATGTGCAGTGTGACGATGCAGAGACTTGCCGTAAGGCTCCCTCGCGGCAACAGTGAAGACGCCGAACATTGTCTTCCAGCCAGAGCGAATGTTCTCCCCGCGCGCCTGGATCATCTGGATGAGACAGCGCAGGACCATGTCTTTGACGGACACGACGCTGGCGTTGTTGATGATGTGCTCAAACGGCTTCAGAAAGTCCTTTTGGAACTTGAAGCCCGGCAGCTCCTCAATCTCCATAAACTTCATCGACAGCTGTCGCAACGAGTTCAGGGCAAAGTAGACGACGTTTGTGTTTGTATGGCAGCCGACCTCGTTGAAGTGGGCGCCGAGCACGTGCCAGATGTTGGTCCACTCGAAGCGCACACGGGTCATGTTGTATCCGCTGATCTCGACCAGCTTCTGCAAGCTGTAGGTACGCGGCGACTCGCTCTGGCCCGAAGACTGGATCTCCTGCCAGCTGACCTGCACGAGGGCCTTGACAAAGTCGACAATGGCCTCACCGGACAGGTTCGCGCTGTTGGTGAAGATGCGGTCCACTCCCCTGACAATGTCTGTCGACCGGCTTTCCTCGGCCACGTCGGCCGAGAAGTGCACGCTGTTGACGTGCGACTGCCGCCGCCGGCTGCCGGGGACGTGGAGGTTCTTCTTCGACTGCGACGCCGTGTTCGACTTGAGCACGTCTGGCACCGAACGCTCGTCGATGCCAGCCGAGATGAGCTGGAAGCGGTCCAGCTGCGAGACGCAGGTGAGAATCTCGCGCCAAGACTCTCTGAGCAGGTTGCCTTCGGTGTGGGCGACGTCGATGAGCGTCTTGAGCGCCTCCATGCTCTTCGCTTTCATCTCGCTCAGGTTGTAGAGATTGGTGAAGCGGGCGAGGAAAGACACAAAGGCTTGACGGGCATCCGCCAAGTCGAAGAGGCAGGATATGCGGATAGCCAGCTTGATGCCCTCGATGCACAGACGGACAATCTCAATGTTGTGGTCCTGCGCTTGCCCCGACAGCGCCATCAAAAAGGGCATCCAAGTGACCTCGAACATGGGACCGACGTGCTTCGACGACGAGGCGGGTATGTACTTGGAGACGGGCGTAGCGGTCGCGGTCCTGCGCTGAGCCCGGAGGAGCTGCTTGTACAGCTGCTCCGTCTTGTTCGCCATGGCCTCGGAAGCCTGTGCGATGGCTTCCCGCTGCAAGTCCCGAGCGCCGCCGGTCAGCGCCTGGCCGATGCTGGCAAGGCCGAGACCCCCGGCAGGCTGTGGCGCAACCAGACCCTTGTCTGCAGCTGCCTCCTGCTCAGTGTTGAGGACAATCTCGTTGTGCGCAATCTCGTCGTAGATGCCGCGGAGGTAGTCTTCGGGCAAATCTGCACTGTCGTTGATGCCGCGGTTGTTCTTGATGAAGTCTTCCGGTGTCATGCGGGGCCCCTTCATCTTCTTGCTGTGCTGGTCGACGTTCAGCATGATGACCGAGTAGGAGAGAACGTAGGCAGTGTCGGCGTTGGCGAACGCGTTTGGGTTGCCGGTCATGTATCGCTCGGCGTACTTTAGCATGAAACGATCAATCTTCTGCGCTTCTCCCGGGAGGCGGAAGCTCTGGAGGAAGCGACGCAGGGCGTCTACGAACCGAGTCTTGGTGAAGTCCATCAGGTCAACAAAGGCGTGCATGATGGCAATGTTCTCGGGATCGGCTTCGCCGAGAAACTCGCCAAGCGCGCCCTTGTCGATGCGATCGTTGTCGAGGAAGAAACGGGCAATGTCTTCGGGCGAGTCGGACGGGATGAAGCCGTCCTTGATCAGCACCTTCAAGCCCTTCTTGGGCTTGTAGTTGAATGCTCGCACTGCGTTTGTCATGGCAGTCTTTCGCTGCTTTGCCCTCTCCAGCTGGCTGTAGTCGTCTTCGGCAAGCGGCGTTACCGTGCCCGAGTCCGGGCCGGGGGCGGGCGAGTCTGCGAGCGTGCGCGCATCCATCGAGAGCCTCGGATCGTCGAGCGACAATCTCGAGTCTTGCGGCTGTGCTTTTGTGCTTTCCGGCAGCGACTGCTGCGCCCAGCCGACGAGCGACCGCAGGATCTCGACAAGCGCCTCCAGCGCCTCTTGCTTCATGGCGTACTCTTGCGGATAGGCACCGTCGGCATCGTTGGCAGAGTTCATCGACACTGTGGTGAGCGAGGGTGGCAGCGTGCCTCGAGTCTGCCAGTCCATCTGCCTTGCGCGCTTCTCTCGGTGCTCCTGGTAGGCCTGCTGCTGCATGGGCGTAATGGTCACGGGGTTGCTGGAGATCTTGGACAGGTGCTCGACCACGCGCTGATACATGTTGTCGAGGGCAGTGCGGTCGCAGTCGTAGTTCAGATAGACCTCGACGAGTGCGCGCGGGTCCGCGGCGAAACGGCCGAATATGCCGAGGACGTGCTGCTTCTGGAAGGCCGGGGCTGCGCGCTTGTCGAGGGTGGCGAGGTAGATTTCCTTTAGGAAGACCTCGACCTCCTTCTTGAGCATGACGCGCAGATACTTGAGCATCTGCCAGAAAATCTCCGCTGCGACCTCGAAGACGGGCTTGACGGAGCTGGCGCCGTTGCGGCTCAGGCTGAGACACAGGTACTGCTTGATGGCCTGCACAAACGTCGTGGGCTCGTCGCCGCTGCCGCTCCGGATGGTGGCGTAGGGGGAGACAAAGACAGCAATGTTGTTGTGGAGGATGGTGTGGACCATGTGCAGCGAGAGCAGCTTCGACCTCATGCCCTGCGACCGGACGTCCATGGCGTGGTCTACCGAGAGGCCCTTTGTGCTCAGGCGACACATGGCGCGGAAGACGAGGTAGGCGTCCTTGACGAAGATCTCGTCCTCCTCGTCGTCGTCTGCACCCGTCTGCGGCGTGGAGGTGCCGACGCCAGACACGTGCCGCGAGCTGGGCTTGCCCTTTATCCTTGTCACCAAGGTCGGCGCGTTGTCGTGTATGCGGTCGTCGTTGAAGGTCATGCTGTTCTCGAAGCTCTGCAGCGTAATCTTGGGGCCCGTGTGCTTGTCGACGGCCTTGTCGCTGGGCTCTTCCACGTCGGCGTCTTGGGCAGGTTCGTCGTCGTCGTCGTCGCCGTCGCCGTCGCCGTCGCCGTCGCCGCCGCCGCCGCCGCCGCTGGACCCGTCCGTGCCGGGCGACCCCTGTTCGTGGTCCAAGCTGTCGGCCGACCGGTCCTTGTCGTTCAGCGAGGCACGCGACAGGCCAAGGCGGGCCTCCTTGACGGCCAGACGGGCCTTGACGCGCTCAAAGACTGTGCCGACCATCTGGGTCAGGGCGCCCTGGGCGACCTGCTGGTTCGCGCTCGACTTGGACAGCAGGAAGATGTTGTACGTCAGGCGCACGGCCTTGAGCAGGCCGGCGCCGTGGACGACAATCTTGTCGTTGAGGATGGCGGCCAGCAGCGACTTGACAATCTGCAGCTGGACGTCTGGGTGGGTGGCCTCGCCCTGGAAGCAGTCGCATATGGTGTCGATGGCGCGCTCGATGAGCGGCGCTCCCTCGCTGGTCCGGGCACCCTCGGCATGGGGCTCCGACGGGACGGAAAAGTACGAGTAGCTGATCAGCTTGCCGATGCAGTCGAGGGCGGTGATGGAGACGGGCACGTTGGGGACCTCCGAGGCCAGCTGCAGGGGCTCGAACAGCAGCTCCGGGTTGATGCGGGCCGGGTCGCCCTCGCGCTTGATGGCGGCGAGGGCGGCATTGGCGGCGTCGCCGAGCTTCTTGTTCTTGCGGGCGTCCTTGGACGCGGCAATGGTGTCGAGCGCGGTGCCGACGAAGACGAGCGAGCTGCGGGTCGAGGGCCGTGTGGCGGCGGTCGCGGCGGTCGCGGCGGTTGACTGCGAGTCTGTCCGCGGGCGGGGGGCGGCGTGGATGCGCTGGTCGAATATCTGCTCCGACGAGCGCGGCGTGTCTGCGGCATTGGGGACGGGGACGTTCAGCGCGGGCGGCAGCGGCGGCGGTGGCTCGGTGTCTGTCGGGTGTGTGTCTGCAGTGTCTGTCGGGGGTGTGTCTGCGCGGTCTGTCGGGTGCGTTTCTGCGCTGTCTGTCGGAGGTGTGTCTGCGCTGTCCGCCGTGTGTCTGTCCGCCGTGTGTCTGTCCGCCGTGTGTGTGTCCGCCAGGGGAATGTCTTCTGTGTCGGGCTGTGGATTCGCTGCGTCTGTGTGTTGCCGTGCGGGAGGCGCTGCGTCGGCCTCTGTGGCTTCTGTGTCGTCCGTGTCGTCTGTGTCGGGCTGCGGGTGCGCCGCTGTCTCCGCGTCCTCCGCGCCGTCCGCGTCGTCCGCGCGGCCCGCGCTTCCTGCTGGTGTGTCTGCGGGCGGCGCGGTCGTTCGCGGCGTCGCCTCCTGCGCCCTGCCACTTCCTTCCACGTCTGCCGGGGCATCGTCGTGGCGGTGGTCGGCCATGGTGGTGCCTGGGTGTGGGTGCCGGTGCCAGTGCCAGTGCCAGTGCCGGTGCCGGTGTCGGTGTCGGTGCCGGTGTCGGTGTCTGATCTTCTCGTAGACGGACGCTCTGCTTCAGGGGCCTGCTCTGGTTCGCTCGGTCATGCTGAGCCCGTGAATCACGCCCGGCTCGTCGAGTGCAGTGTGTGTGTGCGCGCAGGGCAATTGCCGCGAATGTCGGGTCGGGTCGTGTCGTGCCGTGTCGTGTCGTGTCGGGCGCGCACTCGACATGAGATGACAAGTTTCCCTTGCCCGGGCCTGTGGCTGACGCTGCCTGTGGCGGGCGCTGCCTGTGGCTGACGCGACCGCGCTGCCGCTGCCCGTGGCTGGCGCCTGCGCTCCGATGCACGCCTTACCGCTCGGGGCCTGGTCTTCGAGAATCGCCCGGACTCCGATTGCAACACATTTTGTTGGGCTGACCGTCTCAACCATCACGGCATCTCCTCGTCGACCGTCGCCTCGCATCACCACCGCGCCGCCGCGTGCCTCTGACCCCCATCGCCCCGTCCGTCGCGCCCTCGCTCCCGACGGTCCCTCGCCCACCACACCCGCAGAATTCTGAGCGCAGCCCGGCGTCTCGACACAATGCCTGCCACCACCATCCTGTCCCGTGCCGGGGCTCAATTGAGCTCGCGGGCGCCCATTGCCCTGCGCGCCCAGCTGCAGAGGTGCGTCCGCCGTCTGCCGCCCGTCGTCGAGCCCGCGCTGGGCTTCGCTGGCGGCCGTCGGACGCCTCCCGGGCCCGCAGCTCAGTGTACTGACTTGCCGCAGACGCACGCCCGCCCTCGCCGCCCTCGCGCGCTTCTATGCCTGTGAGCGCCCCCGAGCCCCGCCGGACAATTACCTGCGCATGCTAACCGACCCCCCCCCCCCAGCGTATCCCCCGCACACGGTCGTCAGCATGCCCGCGCTGTCGCCCACCATGACGGCCGGCAACATCGGCACTTGGCAGAAGAAGGTCGGCGACTCGATAGCCCCCGGCGACGTGCTCGTCGAGATTGAGACAGACAAGGCCCAGATGGACTTTGAGTTCCAGGAGGAGGGCACCATCGCCAAGATCCTGCGCGACGCCGGCGACAAGGACGTGGCCGTCGGCAGCGTGAGTGCACTCGCCAACCCGCCGCGAGACCGGAGCTAACTGCCCCAGCCGATTGCCATTATGGTCGAGGAGGGCGAGGACGTGTCCGCCTTTGAAAAGTTCTCCGTCGAGGACGCTGGCGGCGACAAAAAGGCCGCCGCGCCGTCCAAGGAGGGCAACGCCGCCGAAGCCAGCGAGCCCGCCGACACTGGCTCCCCGACGGCGCCGCCCGCCCAGGACGGCGCGGCTCCCGTCTCGCGCGAGTCGGACAGCACCGGCGCCCGCCTCGAGACGGTGCTGCAGCGCGCCCCCGCCGTCTCGCCCGCGGCCAAGAAGCTCGCGCTCGAAAAGGGCATCGCGCTCAAGAGCATCAAGGGCACCGGCCGCGGCGGCGCCGTCACCAGGGAGGACGTCGACAAGGCCCAGCCCGCTGCTGCGCCCGGCGGCGGCGCCGCCGGGCAGTCCGCCGCGACGTACGAGGACACGGAGGCGTCGAGCATGCGCAAGGTTATTGCCACGCGGCTGACCGAGTCGATGCAGCAGAACCCCCACTACTACGTGGCGTCGAGCATCTCCGTGTCCAAGCTGCTCAAGCTGCGCGAGGCCCTCAACGCGGCCTCGGACGGCGCCTACAAGCTGTCGGTCAACGACCTGCTCGTCAAGGCCCTCGCCGTGGCCGCGCGCAAGGTCCCCGCCGCCAACTCGTCGTGGCGCGACGTGGACGGCAAGGTCGTCATCCGCCAGCACAACGTCGTCGACGTCAGCGTCGCCGTCTCCACCCCCTCGGGCCTCATGACGCCGATTGTCAAGAACGTCAACGGGCTGGGTCTGCAGGCCATCTCCGCCCAGATCAAGGACCTCGGCAAGCGCGCCCGCGATGGCAAGCTCAAGCCCGACGAGTACCAGGGCGGCTCCATCACCATCTCCAACATGGGCATGAACCCGGCCGTCGAGCGTTTCACCGCCGTCATCAACCCGCCCCAGGCCTGCATCGTCGCCATCGGCACAACCACAAAGGTCGCCGTCCCCGCCGAGTCGGACGACGGTGCGCAGGGCGTTGCCTGGGACGACCAGATTGTCATCACCGCCTCGTTTGACCACAAGGTCGTTGACGGTGCTGTTGGTGGCGAGTTTGTCAAGGAGCTCAAGCGCGCTATTGAGAACCCGCTCGAGCTGTTGCTGTAGAGGATGGAGGCGCCGTGTGTAGGGAGGGAGAGGCGTCGTGTGTAGTGAGGGAGAGGCGTCGTGTGTAGTGAGGGAGAGGCGCCATGTGTAGTGAGGAGAGGCGAATTGTACAATGGAACCTGCACATCTTTTAAACCCTTACCGATATCTAGTTGCATAGGATGAAGCATCTTTCTTCTTCTTCACTGCCTTGCTATGAGTGCTGTCTCAAATCATGTCGAGTGAGGGCGCAAGGAATCCCCTCTCATCATACACTCATACACTCACTTACATCGTGCCGTCATGTTCCGCACCACCTCCACCTCCACCTCCACCACCACCACCACCACCATCACACCGCTCCACTCCACTCCATTCCACTCCATTCCGCTCCATTCCACTCCACTCCATTCCACTCTGCTCCACTCCACTCCGCTCCGCTACTTGACTTTGTGCCACGCTACTGAATGTCAAACAGCGTCTTGAGCTGAATCAACAGCTTCCACTCCTCCTGACTAACATCATTCCGGAAAAACTCCTTGAGCGTATCAATACTCTTCCGACTAATCGCCGCATACAGCGTATCATCCTCCTCAAGATGGCGTCCATACATGGGCTGATTAGGCCCCTCGATCTTAACCGCGACACTGGGGGACCCGCGCTTGCAGATCTGGATCTGCTTGTGATCGCGCTCAATGGAGGTGACTCTGCCGAGCTGGATGATCTCCTTTGCGCCGGTGACGGGGTTCTTCTTGACCGCGCAGATGGGCGTTGTGATGCGCAGATTGCCCTCGACGACGTCGACGCCGATGACGATGGGGTCTTTTTTGTTGAAGACTGCGACGGGTCGCAGAACGCAGGGGAAGACGGCGAGCATTTTGGATTCTTCTTTGCGCTGCTCTTCCAGCTGTTTCATGTGCGCTGTGAATTTGTCAAAGAGGTGGTAGATGATGTCTGCTTCAAAGATTTTGACGCCGATTTCCTCTGCGTACGCTTTGGCTTCTTTGTCGACTTTGACGTCGAAACAGAGCATTACCGCGTATTCTTTGGCTTTTTCGAGCATCACGCCCGCGCGCAGCACGTCCTTGCGGAATACAGGGCCGATTGAGATGGTCGATACGGGGATCTTGGATACGCGGAGGAACTCGAGGAGCGCTTCGAGAGAACCGAGCGTCGACGCCTGCACCGACACGCCGCGACCGGACTTGGACACATTGCTGAGCAGGTGCTCGAGGTCGCCCATGACTTCGTCCATGAGGTCCTCCTCGTCGTCGTCGGGGCCGACGACGAGCAGCCGCGAACCAGCAATGGCGTTGTCGAGACCATCCGCCGCGATCTTAATACCCATCGCCGCCTTGACTTCCTTGTTGTGTACGTACACCGACTTGACGCGCAGTTCCTTCATCTCGGCGGGTGTGAGGAGCGCACGCACGTTGGTGACGATCGGCTCGGGGTTACCGCACACCACTATCCGGTCGCCTTCGTGCAGGACACCGTTGGACAGGATGACGTCGATTGTTGTGCCGAGACCCTCGATCACCTTGACTTCGAGAACGGTACACTCGACCTCGGAGAGGTACATGAGGTTGTTGGTAAGACGGCTCTGCGTGAGCGAGACGATGAGCTTGATCATGTCGGGGATACCCTCACCCGTGTGCGCCGACGTCGGGCATACCGACACGTACTTGGATATGTTCTTGTTCTTGAAGAACAGCTCCGAGTTGAATCCCTGCTCGGCCAGCTGTGTGCGGACAAAGGTCCAGCGCTCCTCGAATTCCGACTGCACCGACTGCTTCTGCAGGTTAAATGAGTCCTCGAAGCCGTTGTTGTCGATCTTCTTCCACCCGAAGAGGCGATCGATCTTGTTGAGCGCGACGATGAAGGGTGTTTTCCTGCCACGGAGCAGCTTCATCGACTCAATTGTCTGCGGCTCAAGACCGTGCATGATGTCGATGACCAGAATGGCAATGTTGCACAGCGAGGAACCACGAGAGCGCAGGTTGGTGAAAGACTCGTGCCCAGGTGTGTCGATGACGAGAAGACCGGGGACGTTGAACTTGAAGCTGTGGTCCCTGTTGACCACGGCGACCTTCTTCTCGAGAGCCGCGACGGGGAAGTAGGTGGCACCGATTTGCTGAGTAATACCTCCGGCTTCGCCCTCCTGGACGTTGGTCTGGCGGATCTTGTCAAGTAGCTTTGTCTTACCCGTATCGACGTGACCAAGAATACAGCAAATGGGTGATCGCAGGTTGTCCTTGGAGCGCTCGGCCAGAGCAGCCTCGTGTGCCTCCTTTCGTCGTGCAGCGGCAGCCTCTTTGCGTGCGGCCTCCGCCCTCTGTGTAGCAGTGCCCTGCTCATCCTCGGAAGAGTCGTCCTCGCTGTCATCCTCAGAGTCGTCTTCCGAATCAGAATCCGAGTCGGAATCTGCGGCTGTCGCAGCAGGCTTCGCGACCGCCTTGCCCGCTGGCTCTACGGCCTTCGCTGCAGCAGCCTTGGCAGCTTCGGCCTTGTCTGCCTCGTCCTCAGACTCGGCGTCCCAGCTGTCCTTGACGCCGTCCATCTCGTCAGCCTGAGCTTCCCAGTCGCCGAGATCGGACCCGTCGTCGCCCTTCTTAGCATCTGCATCAGCCTTGGCCTTCTCGGCCTCAGCAGCAGCTTTGGCGGCCTGCTCTTCGGCCAGCTTCAGCTCCGCCAGCTTCTTCGCAGCCTCCTCAGCCTCACGAGCCTCGCGCTCCTTCTGCTCCTGCTGTTGCTTCCTCTTTTTGCGGTCATCGTACTTGGGTTTCTTGGGTGCCTCCGGCTCGCCCTCAAGCGCTGCGACCTTGACACCGCTCTCGAGCATCTGCTTCAGGCGCAGGTCGGCCTTGGCCTTGGCCTCCTTCTGCGCCTTGGTCATGTATTTACCCTCCTTCTTGAGCTGCTCGATCTTCTCCTTCTCGCGCTGCTTCTTAGCGGCCTTGGCCTCTTCTTTGCGCTTCTGCTCCTCAGCGGCGAGCTTCTCCTCTTCCTCGGCGCGAGCCTTGTCCTCAGCCTCGAGGCGGGCCTGCTCCTCCTGCTGCTTGCGCAGCGCCTCCTGTTGCTTCTGAAGGGCGGCAAGGGCAGCAGGGACCTTCTTCTTCTTGCCGCCGGCCGCGGGCGCAGCGGCCTCGGGTGTGGGTGCAGCGGCCTCGACGGGTTTGGCCTCGGGCGCTTTGGCTTCAGGTTTCGCGGGAGCGGACGTCTTCTTCTTCGCAGCCTGCATTGCAATCAGCAGATTAACCTACAGTGGGTTGAGCCTCCCATACCATCTCCTTCTTACGCTGCTTCTCCTTCTCCTTCTTCTCCTTCTCTTTCTCGGCCTTGGTCTTCATGCGTGGCGCCTCGGTCGGCGATGTCTCTGGCGCAGGCTCGTCCTTCTGTGCAGCTCCGCTCTTCTTGTTCTTCTTGCCGTAGTTTCCAGCAAAAACATCGTCGTCATCGTCGTCGAAGTTGGCCTCCTGAGGTGCCTTGTCCGCGAAGTCGTCGCCGCCGTCGGCAGCCGGTGCGTCTTCGCCCTCGATATCCGGGTTTGCGCCCTTCTTGTTCTTCTTCTTGCCGCGCCTTTGGAGGGCGGCCATCAGGCCACCACCCACATCCTCTTCAGCGCCAGCTTCCTCTGCGGCTTTGGCCTCCTGCGCGAGAGCATCGTTCTCGGTGGTGACGGTCTCGCCGAGCTCGGCCTCCCAGTCGTCGTCCTGCTGCTTCTTCTTTCCCTTCTTAGGCGCCATTTCGTCGGTCAAGCTTTTCGCGTGCGTGAAAAGGGTCGCTCGTGCGGAGTATGTAGGCTGCCGACGGGAGCGGTTCCTGTGGCGGCGGGGTTGACAAGATCAGGTTCGAATTCACGAAAGCTGCAGATGGGCTTCGATGTGGGCCCTGGAGACTAGCTAGCCTTTTTGAAAGATCCCGTGAGTCAAAACTAAGCCAACGAAGGCCTGGATCTAGCAAGGAAGTAACAGGAAATCGAAGCGTGAGGCAAACGCACACAGGCCTTCGAAATTCGTCTGCTGCTTCGATTGTTCGAAGGCGCGCTAATTGGCGGGGTGACGTCTGTGCGCCTGCCACTACGTCGATGGGCTGTGGCGTTAATGCTGATGCCTCAACATGATCATCAAGTCTATTTCGAAACGCTTAGGGTCCATCAATAAGTTTGAGTTCTCGTGGCTCACTCCAACGGCTGGCAGCTAAAGAGCACGGGGCATCGGGATTGCGCGGCTGGAGTTTTGAATAGGCACGTTGTGACAAAGGAGCAAAAGGAATCCCTTCTGCCTCTCGGAGACAGGTGGTAGATCTACCACAAGAGCAAGTGCTGCGACACATGTGCCTTGACCGTGCGAGGTCACTGCAAGACAACCGTTCTTCTGAGGGAGAGGGTATCGTGACTCGAGAGCGGCAGATGCAATCAAGCACTATGGAAGAGACTCTCGACCGAGGGCTCGTTCATCACAGCGAGCGATAATTTTGTATCCGGGCGCGTCAAACAACGTTCTGTAAGTGGTCCCCTTGATTGCATACAGGGACCAGTTCGAAATCGTAAAGTATGTTGGATTTCAGCCTGGATGTCTAGTGGATTGCGTTGTGAGGCTCTTCATCGGAGGTGCAGCGGCGAACGAATGGGTATGCACGTCTGGCAACAGCAGGTGACCCATGCCCTTCAATCATTTCATGGAAGGAGCTCCTGCATGGCGTTTTGTTGATCACTCAGGGATCTAAGCCAAAACTACAACGCTCACTGCATCCAATTCAACTACCGCTTCTCACTCGAACCATCACGCCGTTATTCATCGCTTCATACTCAAGGGCATACTTGAAGGCCTATTTACGGTGTGCTTATGCACGTAATATGGCTCTTGTTCCTTGTTACAGCTATAAAATGTCAAAATGTAGACTACACTTGTACACCTAAATAGATTATAGGCTGCTTATACAAGGCTAATTCTCTGTGACATTCTTCAAGTTCTTGGTTGCCGAGCCTTTTAGGATATTCAGCTTTGCCCATCGATTTGTCCCCGTGGGTCATTGATCGAGTGCGGGCGTATCCCAAGTACATCAAGAAAGTCTAGTGGTCCCCACAACCCATCCGCTAGGTTCAAAACATCTTTGTCGCGTTTCGAGGGAGGAAGGCACTTGTTGCTCAACATTTGACGGGAAATTGGAGATTACAAGTTGCATGAACGCGATAACGTGGACGTTCTGGCGAATCTAGAAGACTGTGGCGAGGTGTGCTGTGGGCACGAGGGGGCGAAAAATTTCTGGAAGGGTCATCACCACTTGTTGGGAGCTCAGGAGCAAAGGCAGGGAAAGTTTTAGCGGAGACATGATTCTACGCGGGAGGCAAGATTGGGCACGAGATGATGAGATTGGAATGAAGCATATACAAAGACTTCTCGACGAATGATGAATGTCCCCTTCGGAACTTAGGTATGAGATTGATCAAAATGTGTGATCAACTCGCTGTTGCACGCCTCAATCTTCCCCAACATTCACTCGGTCCCATTGGTGTTTACCTAGTCGGAGTCTGACATGTCAATGTCAGTATTGTAATTAGTGTAGGACCTATCAGATGCTGAAGTCGATATCGACGAGTCGGAATGATCACCGTCATTGTTCGCATCGTAGTCTTACTCATCTGCGGACTTGTACTCTGTTTCGGTGTTTCGGAATTGCCTGTGTCTGAGTTTGTGTCGTCTCCTGCTATATAAGCGCTTTCATATTCCGAGTCATCTGGAGAGGAGGTTCGCACTTTGGAATATTGCTCTTCCTTAGAATCCTGTTCTTCCTTAGAATCTTTGCTTTCTTGCATCAGCTCGGTCAATTCAAGGTCTAGATCGTCCGCCGTATCCTGATGCAGCTCGACAATGCACTTCGTGCGGGGATGAGCCAGATATTTCGGAATTGGGACTGGGTTTAGAGTCTGCCATGCTTGAAAATCTCGACAGTGATCTGGTTAGAGTGGCAAGGGCTGCGGCTGGCAGCGCACTGTGCAATAGCATAAGCTCGCCTCGTGCCAGTCGCGAAGGCGGGTGCGACATAGCGCGTGCTTGCCACAAGGGAAGAGCAGTGGAACAACCTTCTCGTGCGTATCAGTCTCTCAAGAGAACCACTTCTCCTTGCAGGATATGTATTCTGTGCCTGCGGTGGATGGGAGATGCTCTATGCTGGTAACTCGTTCAACGTTGTGAGGACAGTCCGGCTCATTGTCGTTGGGAGAGCGACCATACGACTTCGTCTTAACTATAGTGTTTAGCAGAGACGTCTTGTCTGTTGAGAATGGGGCTGCGAACCGTGTTTGAGAGTACCGATTATCCACAGATGTGTGCAAAGTGGAAGTGGTGAAAGCTTGCACCTCATCTGCTGTTAATAACGATCATTATGGTGCCTCAAAGTGTTGTATCATGCGCGCATGGTGTTGTGATGGTCGGAGCATTGCTGCCAGGTCTGAGAACTGCTGCGTATGGCATCCGGGCAAAGCATGCGCTGAATGCGAGCGATCTTGCTTTCTCGGCTCACTATTTACGTGCGGAATTAAGGAATCTTGAGCGTCGTTCAGTAAGTCATTCAAGTTCTGGGAGTTCCCGATGTGCAAAGTGGTCCCCATATACCGTCGTAGTTACTGAGTACCGAGGACCCATGGTGGCATTCTTGTTCAGAGGCCACACACACAGAGTCTTCTGGCGCAGTCAAGATCTGCAGAACACAACATCTATATCATGATGCTCTAGAGTTGACGTGTGCATCTTGAGAAAGCTTTCCAGAGCCAAAGCTGACAGTTATTCGAGCGGGGTCGAAGATGACGTAACAAGCCCACAGCACGACTGATGAGGGTGAGAGGGATCCCGGAGGAAGCCACGTAGCGCTGTCCGTCTCATCATTCTCCCTTTTTGGTACATTGTATTCCTCATATCACAATGGTGGCCAAAGAGAGGCCATATCTCGACCGCGTCTTCACTGCCAGTAGCACGGAGGAATCCCAGCGGCTCTATGACGAGTGGGCTGCAACATACGAATCAGACATGCAAAAGCGAGACTTTACAGCACCGCGACTCGTTGCGGAAGCAGTCGCCAGAGGGCTCAGGCTCAACCATCTACATCGAGACCCCGGTGAGGTCCTCAAAGGCGTCCGAATAGTGGATGCCGGCTGCGGAACTGGCACCGTCGACAACGAGCTTGCAGAGATAGGCGCAAAAGATATCGACGGTCTTGATATCAGCAAAGGCATGCTGCAAGTTGCGCGCAAGAGTGGTGTTTACAAGGATCTGAAGATTGCAGACCTGATGAAGAAGCTAAAATTCGATGATGGAGAGTACTACTGTGGCGTATCGATGGAAAACTGCGCTGAGTTGCTCGCTAGCTAGGAGCCGACCATATATACATGCCCTGAGACGTGTTAGTCCAAGGAAGTCAACAGAGGTGACGATCAAGGCCTATAGGACCGACTTGCACCGCAACAAGCACGATGCGCTTACCTGCTGCGGCACGTTCACGCATGGGTATCTAGGGCCAGAGCCGCTCGCTGAGTTCGTGCGGATTGCGAAGAGCGGAGGCGTTGTTGTTGCTACGGTGCTGGACAGCCACTGGGTGGAGAAGGGATTTGAGGCTGAGGCCAAGCGATTAAAGGAGACTGGCGTATGCTCCATTGTGGAGCACAAGGTCCATCAATATCGCAGAGATGCAGGAGGAGGACGCACCCTGATTCTCAGGAGTCTCTGAGAACAGACTAAGTCAGTGAAAATCCTCGATGAAGTTTGCTCTTGGGTTCTTCGTCACGTCGTGATCGCAGCAGCTCCCTGCTGATTCAAAACCCTCGGATTTTTGTCGATCTGTCTATTCTTCGCCCTCGTTGAACTCGCCTGAAAGCGCACCGTGGTATCGCGTTCTTTGTGATGACGGACGATGAAGATCGCGTTGTGCGCCCGCATTCAGTTAGCGCGATGCGCCACTTCAATGTCGAACCTCGAGCCATCCAGCCCTCATCTCTTATTAAGCCTCGACACTTAAATCTCCGTCCAACGCCCTCGATAATCCCCTCCGGAACCTCGCTGCCCGAAAACCATCAGAATCGACAAGGGAGCTTTTGAAGTAGTACCCGGCCGTTGTGAGCGTACATGAATTCAGAAACGTCACAGAGTATACTCATCGAGAGAAGATATCTTATTGTCACTAGGTTCTGCTCTTCTCAGGAAATTGTGCCTTGATTCGTTATTGTCTGTCGTGTATCGTTGCTATTCTGGAGCATCTGTGAGATATGTACCAGATCCCAGAGCTCTCGGAGGCTGAGGCATATGATCTGTGCCTCATGTTGGCCTAAGTTGTATCATTCTAGCCCCCTTGTTATCAACAACGCATCTCTTGCGTGTACCCGTGCTCCAGCATCCTACAACATGCCTGCGAGGAATCCAACACCAGCACCAATGCTGACGACGACCCAGCCAACACCCATGGCGCCAGACGACATCTCCATCCTTCCAGCAGATCCTGTCATGTTCATGCCTGCCATCGCCGTACCGGTAGCGGTAGCCATGCTCATGCCGCTCTTGACCTTTCCGGTGGACATGGACATGGACATGCCCATGGACATGCCACTCATGCCAGCAGCCATAGAAGAGCCGCTAGCTGCAGCTGCGGCGGCTGTGGCCTCGTTATCCCACATCATTGTGATGACCTTGGCGCCTGATGCAGTGGAAGTTGCTGACGGCATCGATGTCATGCCAGACTGCGCGAGAGCCAGGGGAGCGGACGCCAGGACGGCAGCGGCGAAGATCTTGGAGTGCATATTGACTTGTGGTGTGATGGGTGTATTGATTAAGACAACGTATTACAATCGTGAAAGTTCGTAAAAAGTATTGCGAGTCCGGCTCGAGAACGTAATTAGCAGGTGCCTGGGGTATCGAAGGGAAGTTGGATGATGTATTGAACCGCAAAAGGCAGCCCTTCTGCACTTAAATCAGCATCTCAGTCGTGCGACACGCGATGCGCTGACCCGTGACTTTCCAGTCGCAGGTCTTGTTCCGCCAATGCGTCGGGAGGTTAGAGTTCCAGTGCGGCATGATATTGTGCTTGAACAGTCCAGCCACTGCCACAAAGCGGTGCTGTAACGGCAAAATAGATGCCGCAAACACTGTGGAGATATTGTTCGATGATTGTTGCGAGAACGTTTCGTCTAGGGTTTCAGCAAGGATGGTGTCAAGGATTGGCGCTAGATTGGAGGTGGGAAGGCGCATCCCGGCGAAACATTGGCGTTGTGCTTGTTCACACCTCAGGCTTCATCATCATTCTACCCTCATCACTCACGCGTGCAGATCCATCAAGCACGCCGTGTTGGCATTTGAACTGCATTGAATTACTGTGAAGTGTAAGGACGAGTAGTCCCAATATGCTGACAGGACATTTTGGGGGCAATGAGGCCACGCGCCTAACACAAATCAGATCCACTGCTGTTGGCGGATCGTTTGCTCATCGACAGCCCAGTGGCCCTCTAAAACCCAGCCTGTAGACCGCCATCTGCACTTGACCTCTCAAGCAGGTGCAGGAGCCGCGACGTCCCCGATCTTAGTCGCCCTCCAGCAGCTGCTCGAGCAGCTCGTCAGACGCCCAAACGCGCTGCGTCCTCACACGCTCGATATGCGCCATGTGCTCAGGACTCTCAGTCCAATCCAAAACCGCTGGAAACTCTCGCGCAAACAACACACGCTGCTCAAACGCCCACCTCAGGTTCTCCGCCCAGCCACTGGCATCCCATGGATGTGGTAGCTCGATCTGCTCGAGGCGGCGGTACGGCGGCGTACGGCGAGGGCCTCCGAAGGCGTACGCGCTGTAAGCATCTGTTTCGCCAGTAGGCCCTTCAGCCTGGAATATTCGCACAACAGTCAATGAGGTGGGGGTGCTTGTAATGCCCGGTGGCGACGGTAGCGGTGCATACTCAGCCTTGCCCACTGATCAGCATGGCTGCACATCTTGGATCAGCTCGTGACTGCCATTGTACTTACTAGTCCTCGTCGGTACGCCGTACCATTGCTCTCATCAAGCCGGCGCCCGCTCATTTCCCCCACATCGACTGCGCTCTCCGTTGTCTTCTTCGCGGTCTCTTTCGCAGCCATGCGCTGCATTAATGAGCCCGGCCCTGGCGAAACAGTTCGTGGTCTTCTTCCTGCGGTCGGCCTTCTTCTCGGGTCGCTGACCCGTCGTCTTGTCTGTTTCAACTTGGCGAGCAGTTCCACACCTGCAGACGGCGGCGCTGGCCTCGGTGTGGGCGGCGGCGCCTTTCTATTCTCCCATCGCCTAAACACCGCACCATCAACATTTGGCTCTCGTACCTCAGTCGGCCCTCCGAGCAGCTCCAGCAGCTCTTCGTAGTCCTTGGGATATTCCCAGCCATCTTCAGAATTCTGCACGCAGTACTGTACCATCCGGGTCAGGTCAAGTGCGTCGTCGCCTTCTGGCATCGTTCGAACATTCTCAGCAAGGCCTCTGAATGAAACATTCCCTACTGGCACACCAAGCGCGGCCACTCGGAGCTCCCCCACGTCCAGTCGATTCGCGTCCCACGAAGCTTTTCGACTCTCATGCCAGAGATCGTGTTTCGTGATAGTCCAATCGATGTAACCCGCCCTATCCATTGTCTTGTACATGGCTTCTCCGCAGCAATTGGCGCTCCAGTCAGCCTCGAAGTCGCGAAAGGTGTTGATAATGGCGTGTATGGCTTTGCGCGTGCCGCCGTTCGAGATCATCCGGTAAATGACGTCAACGCAGTTGATGCTGTTCGGAAAGAAGGCAAGGATCTCGGCAATGGTCATGTTGGCTTTTTCGGGGAACGGTATCGTATTCGAAGGCGCAGTGTCGCCAAAAGTGGGTTTTGCTGTATACGTCTTGCGCTTCACTTCTGCCATTTCGGCCAGTGCTATCGTCAAAAGAGACGGGTAAGAAAGGCCGCATCAACAAGGAAGTTTCGGGTGAGCTCGAGTTTGCTGGACCACTTGCAGTGAAAGACAGCACACTGCTTTCTAGCCATGTTTGCTTCGCCCGCTGACTCTGAGGGAATTTTCAGGCGCAAGCTAGCTGCTACGTCCTGCCACTACGTCTTGTTGTGGCTATGACCACAAAGGCTGGCTTTGGCCGTCCGTGCGGGGCGAGCTCCCTCTATCGACCTGCTCCTTGCACCAGCCTCTGCTTCCCACCCTGTTCAACTCCTTTTCTGCGTTCCGTTCAGATCTGCAGCATCGCGTTTTGTCAGTCTTGAGCTCGGCCACGGCTATCGATCTTTTGGTGTTTGGATCTTGGAGTGAACTGAATCTTCCTAGGTAGGATTGGTCCTTCACACTCTTTCTCTTCACCGCAAATTGTGCGCCTGTTGCTTTCACGTCGCGTATACTGATGCGATGAAAGGCAGACAGGCAGGATGACTGCGATCGCGAGGAACAACGCATTCGGAGCAGGCAGTCCCAGTTGGAATCTGTCGTTTCCAGACGGCAATCTCACAGCGGCCGAGATTCTTGCCTACCTCCCACATTGGCTCAAATCAGTGGATGTTATTCTCAGGCTCGTCAACCATGGCGGCAGATCTGTTACAATCACCCACTTGCTCAACAAGTACAGAAAGATGCCCACTGGTGGCTTCCAGCCAAACTCCACCACAGTCATGATGCAGTACGCTATGCGTCGTGCTCGCAATGAGGCCTGGGCAATTGGAACGCGAGGTAACTTTAACAACGACCGTGACTACGACGAAAACAGTGTGTACGTGGGCGACTTCAGGCCACCGCGCTTGACTCACCCCAAGAGCGCGTCCACCAAGCAGAAAGCGAAGAAGGAGCTTCTAGCTCGCAACTGCGCAGCTAATCCGATCCCGTTCAAGGATCTCGCCCTTCACGTCAAGGAGCATCCTTCTGGCGACGATGCACTTGACCTGACTCGCTGTGTCCGCTACGCTCTCAAGCACCCGAAAGAGAAGTGGCTATTCCCTACCGACTTTGTAGAGTTGGTGCAGCACATTGGCGGCCCACTTATCGTCACTCACTCTCACTTCGACAGGCAGCTCTTCGGGCGTTACGATCACCTCTACGGCCAACACGATCCTTCACGTCCACCTGCCAACTGGAATAGGACAAGGGGAAAGCGCAAGCAAAACACTGACGAGACCGAGACCAAGACCAACAGGGCCAGCAACGACGAGCTCGGTATCGCCAGTGAGAGTGACATCGAGATAGAGGGCAAGAACAACGGCAAGAAGGCTATCACGAGCAACCCCAAGCCGAGGAGGCGAGTTGTGCGTCGAGCTCAAGGCAGCGCAATGGCAGCCACTACGCAGGTCGACGGTAGCCACGATGATGGTGGTATGAGGAGGAGCGGCCGCCGTGTTAAGAAGGCACCCGTCTATACCGACAAAGACGGGGATGCCACAGTAAGTCTTGATACGCCATTATTTGGTACAACGCGCTAATGCTGTTGCCCCAGGACATCGAATCATTCGAGGCTGACTACACCACACCCCACAAGAAGCGCAGAGTAGCTCGCATCTTACGCACGCCCAAAGACGAGGAGAGCGACTTCGAGGCCAAGGAGGAGCTCGAATCTGAAGACGAGATCCTTCCCGCCCTCGATGAGGCCGACAAGGAGGACTTCGGCACCCCGACTGCTGCGCGCGGCAAGCGCCTCGCTTCTCGCAAAGCGCGCCAGACTATCCAAGAGCAGTCGCCCGCCGTCATCATGGAGCAGTTCCGCACAGCTCACACTGCCGCCAAGCCCACGCACAGAACCTTCATAGATCACGACCCTGATATGATGGTTGCAGCTCGTGCGTGGGAGACCCGCAAGCCGATGTTCGTCCCTCCTCCCTTACTCTCTGAGGATCGCCTGGTCATCGATGCGTTCACGCTGTGTCTTTACGCACAGGAGGGTTGTCGTAACGAGGATGAGATGTGGGCCTCTGCACTGTCGTTCTACCGCTTCGGCGGTCCACGCCGCCACGCCCCGTTCCGTGAGCTGTACCGGCTTACCGAGCCTTACGTGTGGGATACCAGTGACTGGGCAGAGAATGTTCGTTGGGCCAAGGAGCAGTACAAGCACTTCGGTGTCAAGACCTGGACCGAGTATGACTACCACCTCGAGTATATCCAGCAGGTGAGGATGCAGACGCTTTGGGTCAGCGAGGAGGTTGTCCACATGGGTATGTGGTAAAGCGCATGAGCCCGTGCGAGACTGCAGTAACTTGTGGTCGGGAGGCACTCAAGGTATTACGACACGCGAAGGAGGAAATACGGTTGTGGCGGTTTTTATGAGGATCTTATACAACGACATTTCGCTGCATGGCAATTTGCAGCCGGGACGCAATCGAGGCTTCATTTCTTGCACAGCAGGAATGAATGTGACGGTCTTCTTCTTGAGAGGTGTTATCGATGGTATTACGATGTGTACATAGTCCGGAGGCATACATTGTACAAAGCTTTTCGGTCCATTATCGTGACGTGTCTCTTTGAGTCGGGTACCCACATCTGTCTGAGTATAGAACTACCTACGAGGCGGCGCTGACACAGACTACCGTGCTGGATACAAAGAACTGGAAAGTCTGGGGTATTCTACGCTATACAATACTACGGGACAGAGTAGCCTAGCATGAAACAGCCAGTCAGGGAATTCGCTGCAGATCACGGGGATTGATATGCGTAGGAAGAGGGACCTCGGGCTGAAGTTGGCGCATCATCCAGGGATCCAAGGCGACCACAGAGCCGTCGAGAAAGGGCAGTTCCTCATGGTTCTGGTTATCTTGAAACGTGCCCGCGAACGTTGGTCTCTTGGGCGGAGGCATATCGCTCTGGCTGCCTTCGGCCTCATCTTCTCGTGGGTGCTTCCATCTCATGCAGGAAGCTTCCAGTACATCGCTCTGACTATTCTCAGTCGTGCTCGACAGGGAAAAGGAGGTTGCGTCTTCCCCAAAGAACTGATCACCTCCAGTCGAATTCCCCAAAAACATGGGAGCAGCTCCCTCCGAAAAGGGCTTACTACTTCCAGACGTGTCCAACGGGGAAGAAAAGTGTCCGGGTTCTTCGAAGAAGTGACCTTGATCTGAGTTGGATCCAAGGAGGTTGGAAGATCCTTTCTCCACGGTGATTCCGTACTGATCAAAGGACTGGCTTTGTTCTGGGGTGAGTTCGGAGAAATTGCCGGGTCTGACGGGCTCGGGAAGCTGCGTGAATCCAGCATTAGGTGCGACCAACGGTTCCCAGCTTTGTTGCTGAGGCGCATGATCCCAACTGAGTCCAGTCTCATCGTCTTCGTACATTACGTCCCCTTTCTCAGCCCTAGGCTTATTCTCAAGCTGAAACTCAGGCTCAGGCCGAACGCTCTGGCTATGTCCAGGCCTAGCTCGGTTGGCCCGGCGGCCTTCGCCGTTGTATTTCTGCCTGGTACCCGTAGGGGTGCCATCCGCCCACTCGTAGACAGTCTTAGTGTGCGCTTTGCACCTGGGGAACACCGGTGGACGACCAGCTCCCGTCTTGATCATGTCTCCCTTTAGGATATGTTAGCACTTCTCGAGGCAAATTGTGGTTTAAAAGGGGTACTTACGGGCATGATGCATCCTTCACGGGTGAGGCAGACACCGCTGCACTTGGAGTGGTTCTTTGGCATATTTACTGGTGTGGAAGTTCGAATAAATCTGATATACTTTGCAAGATGTCTCCATATGTGTGTATTTGTGATGAGGATGGCAGTAGAGACACGAGTGTCCTATCATATACTGTGCGCAACAATTCGTCCTACTCTGGACCACAGTCGGCTTTCCTTCCATACTAATACTGGCCTCACGATGTATGGTTCACGAGCTCTACCGCTAATAGTCTGAAAAGTCGTTCATCACGGACCTGATCTGTGAGGAGCTCCAGGGTCTCGCCTTAACATATGGCAGCCATTTGCATTCCATATTTTCCTATTTTAGCTCGATCAATTCGCTTGTCAGCGATCCAGAGTGCAAAAAAAACATTAGAAAGGGATACGAAATCTGGTTCGTCGACTTCTCCTGCGAAGAACCTCCGTGTATACTTCCGTCCTCGGTTTCAGGGACTGCAAAACTACGGTTGAACCAGCTGTGCTGACCTGACCGTAAACGATCCCCACACGTCAGATCCACCGAATCTGCAGTTAGAGCGATCAAACCTTCAGCCGTCAGGTAGAGCAGCGAATCATCCTGTGTCAATTCGCACTGACAGGTTCCAAGGGTTGTCACCAGATGTAACCAAAGTTGAGATCTAAATGCAGTTATCGTCCAGTCAGATAATTAATCATATCCACTGTGAATTTCAACAACTTCTCGCCAAGCCTCATGACATTGACACCAATGTATACGATGAAACTGAGTCTGACGTCCCCATTCGAGCAAAAGTGCGGCTGCCTGAGTGCCTCTCAACATGCAGTCGTTAGCTGGGGTTTCGACTTGCTTACATAAAGATACCTCGATAACTTTGGACGCTGTAATGGTTTTTTGATTCACGCTATCTCAGCTTCCAGTAATTCCCTGCCACCTCTGATATCCATTAGAGTAATTTTCCAGGTTGCTATTCAAGCGCTGCATGTGTGAGCTACTCAGTCCCTCAAATCATTGTGCTGAGTCTTCCCAAGTGCCTATCCAAGACCTTGAACTGTTATGAGCTCGGCCTCAAGTTTATCAATGTGCCCTCATTCTATCTCGTGACGCGCACGGCCAGTGGAGCTTCGTATAACGTCAGTCGACCCTCAGCATACTTCAGAGTGTGAGCAGCCTACCCCCGCTGTGCAGTCCTACCGCCTACGCATCGATGCAGAGCTGCTCGTATGCTTGCGCTACTCCACCCTCTTCTCAATCTCCTGTTTTGCCTTCTGCACAACGTAGTTCAGATCCCCCATCTCCCAAAAATTCTCCCAATTACGTTTCGCATACTGTATCGCAAGACCCTGATCACTAGTCGGTTCTGCCGGTATGGATTGATTCGCGAGTAAACCAGTGAGGTATGGGCTCGGGCGCTCGCGTCCAGCAAGCGGAAAGTACTGCAAACACTCGTTATAGTTGTGGTAGATCGCACTCGTGTCTTTCTTCAGCTCTGCTCGTCTTTTGGCATGTGTCTCACGCTCCTGCCATCGTTCTTTGTCTAGGCGCACGCGTTCGGCTATCTCGTTACGGTATATGGCTTCGGCGCGATCAGATGCTGCTGATCTGATCTGGGGCTGTGGTGCGATCAAAAATGGCTTAGTAGTAGAGGACTGTGTAGGGAGGGCGTGTGTGTCAGGTGTACTTCGTTGTGAAGGCAGATAATGATTCGCGACCTGAGGTTGAGGAATGGGTGCTGTGCGTGCTTGCTGAGCGAACTGCAGCGTAGTATCCTTGAAGCCTAGGGCTATCGAATTTTGTAGTTGCAGATGAGATATAGCCAAAGTCTCGAACGGAAGACTTGGGACTTTGGACACTTGCTCGGGGGTTTGCTGTGGCGTCAGTAGCTGTTCCGGGTATGCAGTGGCCGTGCGCAAGAATTGATAGAGATGTTGTTGCCGTTGTTGTAATTGACCTGAATGTTGAACCAAGAGGTTCTGCTGTTGCATTTGTGGATCATACTGCGCTGGGCGATCACCATGCAACTGCTGCTGGTACCGCTGGTCCACATTTAGCTGGTGTTGCCGAAGTCTTTGAGCGTATTGCTGTTGCGCTTGCTCTCGTGCGTAATGCTGCAATTTTCGCTGGTGGTGATCCTTCTGCGCGAGACTCGGGTCGAGCTTCACGTTCAGGGACGGATTGTGAACGTTGCTGGATAGCGCGTTGATGACAGAATCGTAGCTTGTGGTTTGCGGCGGCGCAAACAGCATGGCCTGGTTATGCATCGAAGAGCTTGCGTTGAAATCAGAAGGTGCCATGAGCGATTCTGGTGCGTGAGAGGACGCTGGCTGTAAAGGGAAGTCGTTGAGCGGGGTGAGCTTGTCCGCGTTATATGCAATCGTGTCGCTCATCGCACACAAATGTGCAAATTTCATGGTATAAGTAGACGCTGGTCTCGGTCGATGTCCGTGGTTCGATCTCGTTGCAGTATCTGGGTGAGTGGGGCGGGTTTGGCTAAAGGCAGGGTGGTAGTATCGCCAGCTAGGCATCCTAGCCTGCGGAGAGTAGGTGAAGTTAGCCTCCATGGCAGCCACCCTTGACGGTGAATAAAGAATGCTGAATCAATGCAACTGATGGGAATACAAACAATACAGAAAAGCTCATGGGTGTTCTTTGTCCAGTTCTGGGGGAACAAGCACAGCACTGCTTTTGACAATTTGTTTGCTACGGCCCTACCCGCGATTCCCAAGCTTGGAAGGCGCGAATCAGACACTACATTTAAGATTAGGTGCAAGGGGAGCTTTGTATTATGTCAATCTTATTGGTTATATCTATGGGCTTTGAGGTGTTGGAATCCAACAAACTTTTCTGCCTTCTTGCATCTCGATATCGTGTCTCGTTCTTCAGCACTCGTTACCCAACCTAAGTTGTATCCATTGCAATGATCAAACACGTTTCGTAGCTACCCTTATTTTTCTGTATGCATATGCAGCGAAGATTCTGCGCTCTCTTTCTTTCTGTCAGAGCTCAGCCTCATAGCTTTTGCGAGCTCAGGCCCCCTTCTCATCGTGGTCCTCGTGCTGAGTGTTGCCGGCAGTGAAGTTGATCAGACCAGCCGTGCGTCCGAGGAACGATGAACGCTGGGCGAGCGGGGAAGGGCTACCGTGAGCCTCGTCGTCACTCCATTCACCGTCGGTCTCGTCGTCGTCCTTAGCGGCCTGCAGAGTCCTTGGAGGAGCGACCGTATCCGAAAGGGCTGGTGAGGCTGGATGTTGGGGAACCTTACCATTCTGTAGGTCCATGGCCAACTGGAAAACGCTCGACATGGTGTAAGCAACATTTTTCTCGATACAGTACTTGACGCACTCGGCAAAGATACCACCCTCTTGTCCACTGGGATGCTTCTTGAGTTTGACGCCCAGAGCGCGGACGAAGTAGTCGACGGTAACGTTCTCATCGGCGCGAATGAGATCCGTTGCCTTGGCGTCTTCTGCATCTGCAAAGACAGCACGGTGTTCATCTTCCCACTCGGCGCCGTACAGCTTCCTTCCCAGCTTTATGGCGGTCGTACACTTTACAGAGCACGTATTGCGCAGGTAAGGTGGATCGACCTCGCGGTATTCGTTCAAGCACTGGACGATCGAAGCCGGTCCCCAGCCGCGCGAGTACAGCCGGAGGGAGACGCTGGGCTTCGATAGCGAATTGAAGAAGTAGACGATCACCTCGGTATCGGTAAGCGGTACCATAGGAAGCTGAACGTGTGCGGGTGGTATGGATTTGTTGAGGTTGTGGATCTCGCGCTTGTTGATGGATGTGGTTGTCTTCTTGTAAGAGTCTGGGGGGCCAATTCTACCTGGAGTGTATGGTGTACGCGGAGTGTTAGGGAAGGAAGGCACCAGAGTTGGCGGGGGTGCTGTATGAAATGCCTGTATAGTGTCAATCAAGTTCAGCGCGAGGTTAGAGGGGTCACTGACTGAAAGCATCGGGGTGGGTATACCCATGCCAGGCGCAGCTGGAGGCACGCCCTCAGGAATCTGGAGCTGAAGCTTCTTACGTGACTTCGTACGTCCTGGATTGCCAGAGTCTTCTGCGGTGAATGCCACTGCAACAGGGCGCTTCGCGGAAGCTCTCGTGGCTTGCTTCCGGGTCACCTTGGAGGGAAGTGCCTTGGTACTGCGAGGATCGAGGAGCCCGCTAGCGTTCATTGGGGCGGCAAAAGGTGCACCAATGTTGGAGTTTGGTAAAGTGTGGAACGGCGCGTTGTTTTCCTCAAGCTGCCCGACGCGTGTCTCCAAGATGTTCACCCTCGTGATTAACTGCGAGTTCAGGTCGAAGAGCCTGCTCACGACGTCCTTCTGCACATGCACTATGCAATGTCAGCAAGGCAGATGAAATTGAAATCCAGGTACCAACCTTCACGGTGGAGCTCCTGGACCTCCTCCAGAGGCAGTGTCACCATCTGGGGCATCTGATCTACTTGCTGTCAGCTACCTGTCTGTCGTTGAGTCTGCACTTTGCGCAGACTTTGATGCAATAAATACCTTGAATACCTGTGTAGGTGCCCAGACCGTTGAAGTCCATGCCACCGCCTCCGCCGAACCCATCGCCGCTGCCGAAACCGAAGCTGTCCATGCTTGCGGCTCGCTGGACTGTTTTCGTATGCGTTGGAACTGTGCAGTGATTTACCAAAAACTGATTGGAACGCGGTGTGAAGTAGTTGGCCAAGAAGTTGTGATGGGGGTAGGTGAAAATTGCGGTTTGTTTTGATGCCGAGACCGGACGAGACGAAAGAGACAATGCCACTGGCGGAGCCTGAGTACCAAAGCGCCCCCCAACAAGCGTGTTACCTCGTGGCAGAAGGTCTGGATCTGCAGCCGGCGTGGGCACGGCGAAAACACTGTTCTCGATGTTGTTGGGCTCGCTCTTGACCTTCGCTAGAGCAGATTGATCTTGCGTGTGTTTATACGCATCCTGGTAGGCTCTCAAAGGCAGAGGTCGCGGTGTATACTTGGTCGGAGGGCGTGGAGCATCACCATCTCTCTTGCGGTCAGCTGGTGGGGCTGCGAATAGCGTTGCTATCGCTCCTCTTGGCTTCGAAGACGTGGTCGAGAGCGACTGCTCCGGGCTTGTCTCGCTCTTAATCTTGAGCTTTGGCATCGTTGTCTCCAGCAGCTTGTATGGTACAATAGTGGAGGGGGATGTAGAAGAAAGCGCCTTCTTCAGAGAAGACTTCTGAGCAGACATGGCCGTCTGTGCTCTTCGCCATGGCAACATCGGGCGGTGAGGTGAAGATACGCACTGGGCGATGCAACATTACAAGGGTACAAACAGACTCGCAGGCAACTGGCATTCGCCTCGAGTGGTCTGGATGAGACTGAGGGCACAGATGCAAGTGCAAGTGCAGATACAATTGCAGATGCAATGGAGAGATCCCTAGAGCCACCCCTTCGCTTCAAATGCGGTGCAAGGAAGCTACAGCGGGTTGAGACCATATGCACTGCAGGGATAGAAGAAAGACGTGACAAGATCAGAGAGCAACCGACGGAAATGTATCAACCCAGTAAAGGAGACGCCGTCGCCACTACTAGGGCTGGAGGTCTCATCGTCACTTACAGATGAGAGCCCGGGCCTTGAAAGCATATCCAAAGAAGCCAGGCTCACCTCTCAGATCCGGTGGAATGATAACTCGGCTTTAGTGCAAGTTGCCTGCCAACGGGTGACGCCTCCACAGGCAGACCCTCCTCAGGTCGGCCTGCAGAGAAATCCTTGAGTCTCACCCAACCGCGATCGAGATTTCTCACGGCCACATCGACGACATCACTCATACTGGCTCCGTCGAAGGTAAGCGAGCTCTTTCCTCGCCCAAATGGCAATCTCTGCTATGAGTAGCGTGCCGATACCCAGATCCAACAAAGTTTTTGTCTCGTCAATCTTCTCCATTTGGAGCAGAACGCCAAGCCCGCGCACCAAAGCGTCCGTCACAAGAGCTCGAATCTCGTCAGAAGAGGTTGAGGGTGCAGTAAGTCGTTTACTCAGCTGGCGTCGATAAGAGTACTTACTGTCAGGCTCGATGTTTGTCGCACTACGTTGGGTGGTAAGATGTGCAAACATTCGGTCCTTCGCCCAGGCGCATTGCTGGAGCGCATCGGGCTCCAGGTTCCTAATACCGGTGATGACCTCGGGTCCAACGCCAGAATTCACAGGACTTGCGAGAATGGCTTCTGCAAAGATGTCGCTGAAGGTCTCGCCAGGATATGGGATGCAGGCCAACCTTTCGGAGCTCGTTCATGCCTCTCATGGGTGTCTCATTGGTAACATGTCGCTGAACGTAGCCACTACTGCTGAGGTGACCGAGATGTACAAAAGAAGCAGGCAGCCCCAGTGAACGTCTATGGGTCGCAAGACCGACCACGAACGCGTTGCCCGCAGCCTAGTTCGCTTTACTGCGGTTACCCGTAACGGATGCGACGCTCGATGTCACGATAAAGAAGTCTAAGCTCTCGTCTTCCAGCTCTTCGTGTAGGACAAGGCTGCCGTTCGCCTCGACTTTGGTCATAGCTTTGATGTTCTCGAATGCCATGTTGCGGAAGGTAGCATCGCGCAAGACAGAGCAAAGTACATCACACCTCCATTCGGTGGCAATCTTAGGTAGTCAGAAAGATGGTCTTCCCATAGCGATGCCAAGATTCTGCGGACTGAAAGCTCCCTTTGCGCCTAACCCGTGGGGCCGGGCCTCTGTATGATCAGGATGCCGACTTGCCACGACAATGTATTTGGCGCCACTTTCGATCACCCATTCACAGATGACACGAGCGATGTCGCTGCTACCGACGATGAGATAGGTCCTCCCCGAACTCAATTTTTCGTCCTTCGTCGCCGGTAGTATCGTCACTGGTAGTGTCTTATTGGTGGTCCAGTCGATCAGGGTACAGAGACTATGACCGGCACGGCCTACAGCTTCTTGCGGTCCCATGACTGCGGCGGGACCGTTTGTATCCATCACGGTCGGCCTCATGGAGTCATGGTGTTCGGATATATTCCCGCTGTGATGTGACACTGTCCCAGTCTTCGACCAGAGGCATGACCAGTGGGTTTCTTCTCAAAGAACGCCTCATTGCCTCGCGTCTTGACTCCACTGCGTCGAAGTACGGAGCATATGCACTCAGCACCTCTTCGTCCGCTCGCGTTAACACACTCGCAAGGAAGGTAGCACCGCTGGGGACGATCTGTCTGACATTCAGATATAGGCTGTTGCGGTGCACAAAGGTCGCTTGATCCGGCTCGAATATTGCTTAGCTGGTCATGAAAACCACCTTCTTCCCATGTTTCGTGGCTCTGTTCTGAAGTACGTTCAACGTAAACAATATAACCACCAGGTCGGATCTGTGAACGTACATGCTACAGTACCCTTCGGACATCGCTGGTGGCACGTAACACGTTCGACGCGACGACGACATCGAATGACTCCTGACAGATGCCTGGTGCTGAAAGCTCTTCCTCCATATCGAGCGTTCTGAAGCTGACTGTGCCCTCGGAACGTCTTATACTCTCCTTGGCAGGACCAAAATGCGGAAGAGACATCAGTAAATTGTATGTCGATCATAATGATGGCTCGATCATCAGAGATGTATCAAGCAGTAGTGGCCGCCATCACAACGTATGCTTCTCCGAGGAGGACAGCAACACCAATGAGTTGATGTTTAAACAGCCAAGGTATGTCTTGCGGATCGAGGAATGAGCGCCACTTCGATTGGTGGCAACGTCGATTGGTATGGGCTTTGCAAGAAGCGGTTCTCCAACCAATACTCAGCTTCGTGTCATCAGGCGTAGGTAGGCATATCCTTCAGCTGCCTCGGCAAGGCAGCATGGTTCAATAACGCCGCATCGATTTTGGCGAATTCGACAGCATCCTTGCCAGACCCTTGCCAGATCCAGCCCAGTGCATCCGCGAACGAGTCAATGGCGCTAGCACCACGTCGGAGGAAGGCAGTGTGGGTCACATTGGTCGCGATGCTGTCGCCCAAGATTTGGCGCACTGCTTTCTCAAGCGTGAAGTGAGGCCCGATTTTGAGAATCAAATCCAAAATTCCCTTCTGAGAGACGGTGGTCTGTACAGCAGACGTAAATTGCACAGGTGCAAGTAGATTTCGGATCCAGTATGTAGGTCCCAACCGGTCGGCAGACTCGACGCGCTAGCCGGGAAAGACGCTTGAGTACCACGATGGGCAGTGTGCTTTCAGCTCGAGACTCGTCATCTGCAGACGTCTCAACGATCGCAAAAAGGAAGCAGCGCAAGGGCGCATGTACTCCGAGTGGTACGCCATGTCGACTTACAGCCGTTTTGCAAGAGTCCTGTCACCTTCGAGCTCGGCTGCCGCGCGAGTGACGCGTGTGACATCTCCGGAGATTGTCATTTGTTCGGGTCTGTTGAATGCTGCACAGGTGAGGTGGCATTTGTATCGCGGCAGGCAGCAAAAGTTCCGTGCTCGCTCCGCTAATAAAACAGTAGCGCATATGGCTCCTGACGCGCCGGTCTTGCTGCCGGCTTCTCGACAGTGCAACCCCTGGTAATATTCGATGCGGATGGCGTCGTTAGCATTGAGTAAACCCGTTGCATGGGCAGCCGCGATCTCGCCAGAGGAGTGTCCGACAACTGTATGAAACTGGAGACCAGCGACAGCAATGAGATCCACCAACAATACCTGTATCGCCATCATGAGAGGTTAAACAAGCATCGCTTTGTCTATACAAGAACTCTCACCATCAAGTAGAAGCTCTTCTCCGAGCTTCCAGTTCGCCTGTCAGTCAGGGGAAGGGAAGCAAGAGCTTGGTCTAGCCTCTCAACGATCGCGCACGCGTGCGGCGACCTTTCGATCAACTCCTTTCCCATGGTCGCCCATTGCGCCTCCTATTCTATGGATATGTCCATCATCCGAGGGATATGTTTCGACTGCGGGATTGCGTGCACGAATGAGCCAGAGGCTTGCTCGCAGTCCACCGTTAATAGCGCCCGTTAAAGGCCAGCTCCGGAATCATCGACACTAGACGCCGCGAGTGCACGGCGGTGGTCAAATTGAGACCGCTTACATTGGAGCGCCCACGCTAGATCCTGAAAAAGAATTTCGGGCTTGGCCAGACGTAGGTCAAGTAGTTCTGAAGAGTTGCTGCGAGCGCCCGCTCAGAGCGTCTCGAGAATAAGAAGGGGGTAAGCAATGGCACACCAGCTGTGTGTAGTGATGATGAGCTAGCGAATTTGCTGTTCAGTGGCTGGCTGTAGCTCTCAATGATGTGTACGTTGGACCCGCCAACCCTGCCTGTCTGTCAGCGAAAATGGACAAGGTCGGTTCATATGTGCTGCATACCGAAGCTGTTGATAGACGCGCAACGAGGACATCCCTTGGTTAGCGTCGGCCATCGGCTTGGAGATGTGAGCAAGCGGAGATGTCTGGTATGAATCTGTCCTTGAGTGTTCATGCGATAGAAGAGCAAGCTGGGAGGGGTTGTTGCGGGCCGTACTGCGAGTGCGGCTCGAAGCAGACCTGCAAGCCCTGCCGTCTCCTCAGCGTGTCCAATGCAGTCCTGATCGAGCCAATGTATAAGCTCTCGCTCCTGTTGTACGCTCGCCCTGGAGGGAAGAACACCGCTTCTACAGCTGAAGCTTCGATTGGATGTCCTACGAAAATGCCAGTACCTGTGTGTTCCAGTGGTGTTGAGCACTGCAGATTAAAGACTAACCATGTGCTTCAAAGAAAGAAGGCCGTGAGTATGCCTGAGCGGTTCAGTCCAGCATGGGCATAGGTCTCGCGTATCAACTTGGCTTGTGCCTCTGCGCTCGGCATCGCGATTCCCTTGGTCCTCCCGTCTCGATCTGTGCCGATCTCACGGATGATGCATTCAATAGAATCGCCATCCCTGAATGCGGAGCCGAGAGGTATGAGGCAGATCACGTCTGTACGCTTCACCCGCCCGTAGCCGTCTGCAGCTTCGTCAAACACTTGCTGCGCATGGCAAGCGAGACATGCTCTGGGGAAGGGATCAACATACCTACGTCCACCTGCGCTAATCATCCCCATTCGGCTCAAAGCCTTGAGTAATTGGGTGTGAGGATATCGAGCCTGGAAATGAGGCCTCGAAGTAAGCCGAGGGAAGTGTACTCAAAAGCTGACAATCCGTGGCTCAGCGGTGGTAGTGCTATCAGGCTCAAAGCTTCTTCAGGGGAGAACATATGCTCAGTGTTTGTGATTGATTTTTCGCTGACGTAGATTTAGACCTGTGAGGCTCGTGAATTATGCGATGGCCACGCCCACCTGGTGCGGCACATCACCGACTGCTTGAGCATGATGTAGCGCTCGATGCGATGCCGCCGTCTCGACAATTTAGCATTGCACGTGTCTTCCAATGAGCCTCTGGAAGCGGTCCGTCCCACTGGTCAATCGCTCGCCGCTTTCATGAGGACCAAATAACGCTGATTCGTGACGCATTTGCAGTAGGCCACGAGCACATGGCGCCGACTATCGGCATACGCAAGCATTTGAGCGTTAGCTACTCATAGAATGCTGTAGAGTGTGCGGCCAGCTGCGGTTGCCGTTGTCGAATTCCATCGCGTGAGTGATGATGTGAGGACGTCTGACGTCGACGCGTAGCTCTAAGGGCATTGGCGCTAGTCCATATCTGACCATCGCAACTCCCCCCACGAATCGATCATACACTCTCTCCTTCAGTCTTCACAGTACATTCTCTGCAATCCCTCCCTTGAAATCGCTCAAGCAGGTCTCATATCACGGTCGAACAACGATCATGCGCCTCCTCCAGCATGCCGTCCACCCGTCCTCGCGCCTCAATGTGCCGAGGCTAAACTCCGTGTATCGATAGGGTGACGCAGCTCAAGCACGACATCCCACTCATTGGCATGTCCGTCTCTGTTGCTTGCTAAACAAAAAATACTCGATTCGATCCAACGCCATCCGCAGGCAGAGCAAGCGTCCTCTCCGCCAGCTCGTTGCAGCGCATCCCACGATCCTACCATGCCCACGAACATCCTCATAGTGGGCGCTGGCGCAATCGGCGCCTTCTATGCCTCGCGCCTCGCCGTCGTCCCCGGGCTCTCCGTCTCAGTAATCTGCCGCTCAAACTACAAAGCCGTAAAAGCACACGGCTTCAAGGTGACGTCCCCGCAATACGGCGACTACACCTTCACTCCGGCCGCCACTTTCGCCAACCCGGACGAAGCACGCGCAAGCCAAACACACTGGGACTACATCGTCGTCTCGACCAAAGCGCTGCCCGACGTCAGCGACGACTCTGAAATCCTCGAAGGCCTGGTCAGCGCCAACACGGCAATCGTCCTGATCCAAAATGGCCTGGGCGTCGAAGCGCCCTACGCAACGCGCTTCCCGCACGCCGTCATCTGCTCCGCCGTCACAATCGCCACCTGCGCGCAGCCGTCGCACGGACATATCAAGCACAACCGCTGGACTCGGATCAACAGCGGCCCGTACCTGCCGCACCTGGACACGGGGGCGCCGCGAGCCAGCGACGCAACCGCCGTGGATCGCAACAGCGCCTTCATCGCCGCGCTGGTGCAGGGCGGCATCAAGGACGCCAGCGCGTACACGTACGCGAAGCTGCAACTGGTGCGGTGGCACAAGATCGCGATTAACGCCTCGTTCAACCCGACGTCGGTGCTCACGCTGGGCAGCACGAACCAGGCGCTGACGAATGACGCGGAGACGCAGCGGCACATCAAGGGCGTGATGGAGGAGATTCTCGCGACGGCGCCGAAGCTGCTGGGCCAGCCGATGCCGGCCGAGTTTGCGACGCCGGACGCCATCATACGCAGCACGCAGCGCAACACGAGCGGCAGCAAGCCCAGCATGGCCATGGACTGGGAGCAGGGGAAGCGCATGGAGATTGAGGTCATTCTGGGGAATCCGATTCGGATTGCGCGGGCGCGCGGGCTGGAAATGCCGCGGCTGCAGACGCTGTACGCGCTGGTGCGCATGGCGCAGGAGGTGCGGGAGAAGAGCGGGGCGAAGCTGTGATGTGCTGGGGGGACATGTCTTAGGGTGTAGACACGTCTAATTCTTCATTCTATGCCAAATGGGTATCATGCTCATCACCGCTCATCCTCATCCTAATCCCATCCTAACTGAAATGATCCCCGTGATCACTCTCACCAATCCGATGCCCCGCAACCCTACCCTGCGCCAATCTCCATCGCCACCTCCGCTCCTCCTCCCTCCTCTCCCTCTCCTCCCTCGCCCTCTTCTTCCGCTCATACACAGCGCGAACAGTCCTCTTCGTCCTCTCAGCACCCTCTTTATAATTTGCGCTTGCGAGATCAACAACGCCATCGATCTGCTCCGGGGTGTAGACAAAGTTCCAGGTGGACATGAAGTCGCTGGCACGGGGGTCGACGCCGGGCACGCGCGGGTTGGCGAGGAGCGGGAAGTAGACGACGGCGATGCCAGAGTGCGGGTGCATCAGCTCCCAGTCTTGCTCGACCTGCTTGCTGGCCGGGGGCTCGCCGGTGCTGACGCGCTCCTCGGTCGTGCCGACCCAGATGTTGCAGTAGCCGAGGTCTTTGTGTTTTGTGCTGTTGGCGGCGTCGGCGTGCTGCGCTTCGTGCACTTTCTGCGTCGCTTGCGAGTCGCTGGTTGCTTGGGCGGAGGCGAGGTCGTGCTGGATCTCGTCGATGGATTCGTTTTCCGGGGGCCAGCCGGCACCGACGGGCCAGCCCTTTATGCCGCGCTGGCGGGCGTAGCCGTCGGCGACTTTGAGCCAGTTGTCTGTGCGGACGTCTGCGGAGGCGTCGAAGGCGACGAGGATGTCGACGTCGCGGCCTGGGCGGAGGAGCGGGTAGATTGGCAGGTTGTTGCTCATGCCGGCGTCCATGAACTGGAAGTTTTGGTGGGTGAAGATGCTCTCCGGACAGGTTGGGGGCAGCAGATGGCGCATGCCGCGGGCGAAGTTGGGCATGGAGGCTGGATCGATGGGGTGAACTTTGACGAGGTCCGAGTCGCGCTCGGAGATCATGGCGTCGATGGCTGCGAAGCCCGCGAGCCCGCGCAGGAAGGGCCCGACCTCTTTGTAGTAGTGCGAGAGGGTCGCGCAGAAGGCGGAGCCCCAGATGCCCATGAGCATGGGGACGCGCACTTCGGGGAGCGCGAGCCCGTTCTCGCGCCACACGGTGCGGCCGTTCTCGAAGGTGCGGCCCATAGCCCAGGTGGGGATACCGGCGGAGAGCTCCTCACACCAGAGCTCGTAGGGCGTGAACTCAAACCACTGGAACCAGGCCTCCCTCCGCGCCCGCGCCTCGGCTGCGATAGGGTCCTGTGTGTCCATCTGCGCGGCGAGGGGTATCTCGTGCCGCACGGCCGTGTAGATGGGCAGCGGCTGCGAGCCGTCGTCGGTGAAGCGGCGCTGGTTCGACAGCTTGAAGTCAGCCTCGCTGACCGACAGCTCGCCCTTGGGCACGAGCAGCCGGGCGGCGAGCAGCGCGCCGTACACGTCGACGATGCCGAAGTCGGCGTCGGGCACGCCCTTGGCCTTCTCGACCAGCCCCGCGAGCAGGTGCTTGTTGGTCGGGGCGCTGACGAGCAGCTCGAGCGCGTCGGGCGGGAAGGCCATGTGCACACCGAGACGGCTCTTCAGGTGGCGGATCAGCTTGGCGTGGCTGCGCTGGGTGAGGTCTGAGTAGTAGAGCGTCTGAAGCCAGCAGCTGCCGCTGACGCCCGCCGTGTAGGTGACGCAGTCGAACAGGCCGTGTTCTTTGGCCGACAGGTACGACGAGGTGCCAGCGACCAGCGCGCGCAGACCGCCGCCGGAGCCGCACATGGCGATGACCGGCACGTCGTCGGGGTGCAGCTGCGCCTCGGGCAGGTCGAGGTAGCGTGCGAGCGCGGCGCGGGTGAAGTGCGCCCGCTTCGCGCGGAAGGCCAGCTCATCCTCGCACAGCTGGTCGGACACGCGCACCGAGGCGTCCCAGGTGATCTCGGGGTTCGTCTCCGGGTCGTTTGCTTCGTGCCAGATCTCCTCGGCCAGCGAGCCCGGGGCCGTGGACAGCTCGTTCTGCAGCTTTTTGAAGAAGCCTGGCAGCACCTTGACCCAGTGTGGGATGACGTAGTCGAGGATCGAGTCGCCAATGTGCGTCGCCGACGACGAGGGGCTCGCCAGGCCCGCCGTCATGGCCTGCCACGCCGACTTGACGCGGCCAGCCTTGTCCTCCTGTCCGCTGTATCCCTTTGCGACGCGCGTCTGGGGCGGCGCCTCCTGCTCGCCCGATCTGACTTCGGCGTCGGCGTCGTCCTGGCCGTTCTTCACGGCGGCATTGGACGTGTTGCGCGTCTGCGCGCGCAACCATGCCGACGATGCATCGAGCTGGATGGGGCGGGCGTGGTAGGCGGACAGCCAGTAGCCGGCGCCGACGGTCGCGAGGAGGAGCGGCGGGCCATAGCGAAGGCCGTAGGTAGCGGCGCTGGGTCTGGCGGCGGTGCGGGCCTTCGTGTGCAGTCTGAGGCGGTCAGCGCATGCTCTGCTCACCGCGCCGTGGCGATCACTCACTTGCGCCGCGTCCCCCGCAGCCAGAGTTGGCCGAGGTCGCGCGCACTGCCAAAGCGCGCCATGGGGTGGGAGTAGGTTCAAACAAGCGTCGGTGTGATGAGGTGCGAGGATGTCGCCTGCAATATCCAATATCCAATGCCCAATGCCCAATGCCCAATTCCCAATGCCCGGTGGCGTCCCAGCTATGCGCTCAGCATGACGGGGCAACAATCCGGGCTGGCTGCTGAGTCGTCCAACATTTCGGCAGGTTTGCAGGCAGACAGATCCTGACTGCCCGCCTACGTCAACCGCCAAGACCGCCACATACAGGCATACGCTCGGATTTCGCCGACGACATCGTCAACCGTCGCAACGGTTATGGCGAAACGACTCCGGGCATGTGTCTGGAGTCACGCACCTACTGCAGGTACCGCGCACATCTCCGCCGCGAGTGCGGCTTGACAATGCTTGTCTCATGGATCGTCACCCTTCCCCCGGTGCCGTCATCCGTAGCGCCAAAGCACCACGACCCCGCACTACTCGTCGTCAACCATGCATGCTTTCGCAATATCCTGCACAGCTACTCGGACGGCAGGGTCGTTCATGATCAATCTTTGTGATATCTGCAACCATCTTGGAGCTTCATGCAGGCAACAAGACCAGACTCGAGAGATCAACCCCGCATCGAGCCTCAAGTAGTGCTTTTGATGTAGCTCCAACGGCTGTGCCATCAATTGACAACAATTCTTCGAACGTGCTTTCTTGTTGCTTCACTAGGCCTCCATCTCCGTTCGTTTGACTTTGTTTCTCTCATTTTGTCGTCTCGCCTTCTCCCTCTCACCGTGGCTGCACTCTTTGGTGTCCTGCTCCCTGATCTGACTTTACTTCGCAGCACTTGATGCACTCACTTCACCGCACTTGATGCAC